TCCAGAACTTGTCCCACCAGTGTTTACCTCTGTCTTTCCTGATCGAACCATCTTTCTTGTGAAGCGTCGTGTCCAACAAGTAAGCCACACATCCTCCCACAAAGGCCTTGGACGAGAAGGGCACATTGACCATGTCGTTGAACCATCTTGCTCCTGTATGAACTGGACCATAGCCTTTGATGGCTGTGTGCTCATTGAAATATTGCGGAATTGATAGGCCTAAGAAGATTGAGAAGCCCAGTATGAACAATGTCCTGAAGCTATTCAGGTTGCAGAATTGCAGTAAACTCAGTCCACCAGCACCTACACAAAAGGTTTTGTTATAAAACTTGACATATAGTAAAAATTAGTCTCTAGTCTCTATGTTACTGTAACCAAACCAACTGATTAATAAAACTTCAGTCCCATTATATTTGCATACCCTACTATCTCGTTAATTCTGCTTAGAGACTTTACTTACCTACATACGCAAAGAAGAGACAATACAAGGCAGCTATGATAGGAGCAGGTATTGATGCAAACACTGCCCCGAACTTCCCTGCATTAGATTTATATAAGACAATCAATTAATATGTTCTACTTCAATTCTTAATGGTTTTTATATATAAAAGAGACAAGCTTACCAAGAATTGAGAAAAATATCATAAACCCTGCAGATATTTGGACAACTCTCCGGCTACCAACTTTTGTAAGCGCTAGCAGACCCGCATTCTCGCTGCATTCATGTGAAAACAAACTCACTACACCCTTCAAAACCAACACATATCCTAGGTTTGGAAAATGGATATGAGATCTTACACAGAAACTGAAGATCCTATGCCAGTTCCGAAAAACCCCGAGATTAAAATTGCAACTCCCTAAACAAGAAATTAACATAGTTGAGGCACAACATTAGATAAATGAGCACTTGCTCGCCCTGAAAAAACTTCATTGATGATATTTATAAATGAAGCTTATGAAGTGAGTTTTTACCTGCCAACCAACACCGCGGCTGATAACAGAAGGTGGCGGCATTGTGGCACTAGCATATCTCGAGACAGCAATGAAAGCACCTGTCGACTGTTTTTTGTTGATAAACAAATTAACATAGTGACTAAGACGACGAGATTGAAGTAAAGAGCAAGAATGTTTGAAGGAATGAAGAGATGAGTCCCAATGGCTTTAAAACTTAAACGAGTATGCAACCTATGAAATACATTCATTGAAGTAACAGACTTAATATATTAATGGATACTAATGCCTTAACCTACTGATATAAGTTTTCTATCTAGCATATCAGCAATAAATATGTAATTAAATTACAGATGGTCAATATGAGTGAAACAAACCTCAACAAGAGCAACAAAAGAAGCCATCATCATGGCAAAGGCTTCACCGGCATCAAACAATGGTGCTCCCCACTGGAATGGCCATGGAACTCTTATCCTGCACAATGAGTAAACCCAAAATAGTAAGCCACACTTGATTTTGTAATCACTGAGAACTCATTAAAAAATGACTTTCTCGCTAGATATAATTCAGCATGACATGTAATGTCCAAGCCATGTGCTGTAATCTTACCAAGGCGCAGCACTTATGAGCCCAGAACGATCAGTCCGGCAGCTTCTTTGAGTTTTTGCTCCAACACCATTATAGGCACCACCAATTGTAAGAAAGAAAGCAAAAAGCCATACTATCGCCACCGAAAATATGACAGCAAAACGAGCAAACACATGTTTTCCTCCCTTTATAACATGGGGCATGTACTGCAATACCAGCAAAGAGTATGAACAGACAATAAGAAACATCAAACATACTGGAAAGAACATATTGGAATCAGTAACTTATGCAGTGAGAACAGATGAGCTGGCAGAAAGTTACTACAAGTTATGAATCTCTAGCTACAATTACCTGTGATATAAGTATGAGAATAATAAGCCCCGGTAGTCCAATCTCGATGCAATTAGCAACCTGGCCGAAATAACAAAGAATCAAGATTCCACTTGTTTAATATAATTCAGTTTTGGTGTTCCTATTTACAGAACAAGATGACTTACACCAGGAAAACCTAACTCGTACAGGCCATAACCAACTAATCCAACCAGAGGAGCAGCAGATAGAGGACTTAAGAACCTGGAATAACAGAAGTTCATTGACATATTCTTAACCACACAATGGAACAAGATTTGAGTCTAATGTAGCTCAACAACTGACCTTACAACAGTACGCCAAATGCCACTGAAGCCAATAATTATTTGAAGAGTTGAAGCAACTATTAGAGCACCTTGAGTTGCCCGAATGATCCTCTTAAATCGCTGATAATGCATCAAAAGTGGTATCGTAAAGTAAACTAATGATCAAGCTATTGAGGATAAGTAGTAACAGTAGACCAAACAGATAAAACAGGAATGAATAGGAAAATAAGTGTAAGCTACGAACTTCAACTGGATCTGCAACGTCGTTGAATCTCCCAGAAAGCATGATTGAGATTGTAACTGGGACAAATGTATAAGATGCTCCCATAACAGCAGGTAATCTAGTTCCAAACACTGTTTGGAGCAATGTGTTCAATCCAGCTACAAACAGTATTGTCTGAATCAGCTTCGCCTTCTCTTCCTGCCAGAATCATAAATTCAGCTGCAATAAAAGACTGAAAGGTATATAGTTTGGAAAACTACTGTACTAGGAAATGCCTTACATTTCCACCTCCCATTTGGGGAACAAGAGCCGATGGAATCAAAACTGTTGTTCCAAGCATCACAAGGTAGTGCTGAAACCCAAGCAGAACAGCCTCAGCTGAAAGATTCAGCATAAACTCTCAGTCTCACATTTACTAAATAAGAAGCTTAAAACCTCATATTCAAACAATAATTACTGGATTAAAGTTATATCAGTTCCTCAAAATAGATCACTGCCTAATTTTGAAAAAGTGAGTCCAGAAGATAATACATATAAACAAAGAAATGTTTTAACTAAAAACAACGCCGATTATGTGTATTATCCACTGTTAACAGAGAATGATCCCCAAAAACACCTAGAAGAAGATTCTCAAGAAGGTGAAAAAGGAATAATTCTTAAAGAGAAAAGTAAGAATCTAATCCTCACGTTGCAACGAAAAGGGAAAAAGTAATGATACCCAAATAAGAGCCACTTTCAAAAAAGGTAAAAATCGAACAATCTAATCAAGTCTCAAGTCTCCAAAGGATATGCCAAGAACAAAAACTAGAAGTCAAACGGTTTAGGTAGAGGCAAAGATCAAAACTAACGCCATGGAGGAGGGCTAGTGATGCAGTAAGAGATATCCGGAAGCTGCTCTTTCGGCGGATGTGGCGCTGGATCACCAGCCGGTTTAGGCGCGGACATCTTCAACCTCTGCAACAAATAAAAACCAAAACTTTTCAACCAAAAACTTCACAAACTGAGAAAAGTGACTGAAACCCAAATCACAGAAGAAGCAAAAGTCAGGAAAATTTGAAGCACAAGAAGCCAAGGGTAAAGAAAACTCGTCTTGAGCTAAACCCACAGTTGCTAAGAAAATAAAAACCAAAACTTTACACCAAGAACTTCACAAACCGAGAAAATGACTAAAACCCAAACCTCAAAAGAAGCAAAAGTCACGAAATTTGAAGCTCAAGAAGCAAAAAAACAAGAACCCCAGGTTAAAGACCTCGTTTTGAGCTATGAGCTACACCCAAAGTTGCAACAAAGGATAAAAACCAAAACTTTACACCAAAAACTACACTAACCCGAACCGCGACTGAAACCTAAATCACAGAAGAAGCAAAAAGCTACTAAATTTTGAGCTCATCAAGCTTGTAAATGGAAGAAAAAGGCGAAACATAAAACAAAACCCCAAGAAAAAGATCTCACTTTTAAAAGCTAAAACGAGTACAGAGAGACAAAGATTGAGACTATACAAAAATAGAAGAAGAGCCAGTAAAAACCTTGTGAAGAAGAAACTTGGAGAAGTAAAACTAAAGAAGAAGAAGAAGAAGAAGAAGAAGAAAGCAGTGAAGAGGCTTGAGGAGGAAGGAGCAGAGGGGACAGTTGTCTACGTTTCGTTTATATCAGCGTTACTTGTGCACCGACTGACGTCACCACGAAAACAACCTCTTACCTGTCCTTACTCTAAATTTATTCGATTAGTTGCCCAACGCATTTCTTAATTATGCACAAATTTTTTGACAAAATGAATGAAGCCAAACACTTGTTTTGGCAATGAATCAATCAATGATATAACATGTTTCATTGTGGTGTCGCCAACTGCTATTATAACCGGCGTTTGAATCAGGTGACCTCATTAATCACTAGACTTTCTAAGAACACTTGTTTAGTCTCAAGTCTCTATCTTTATTAATGTTATGGGACGTTTTTGTCTTTAATCTAATAGAGGGTTGAATATTTGGTAGAAAAAGGTCAATCTTTTTTGTTTGTAATTAGATTTACAGTCTTACAGAGACGGCAATGATCAAAAGAGAAGTTTTTTTGAATTAACGTTAAGATAGTGGCAAACCACCTCAACTACATTACTAAGAAACAATAATCTAGTGAAGGATTACGACTTGCGACTCTGAAACTAGCTAAGGATGGTTAGGATCGAGACATAGCATCTTAGTGTGAGACCAACAAAGTATACATACAATGCTCGTCTTCTGCTCTATCCAGTATCCACATTAATATATGTGATATGTCATGCAGTTTAAGTAATTTCTTTTAATGGGTTTGAAAGAGAAGTTGTTTCCCACCTAATGGTCCTATGGGGTATGAGATGTTTATGAACACGTTGCATAGTTCGACTTGTGTTTGAGATTGTACCTACGTGGATTCTAATCAAAATGACTAATGATGACGATGTGTAGTCGGCATAAGGCCTATTTACTTGACCATTTAGTAGGAACTCATGCCCTTCTCTTCCTTTGACTGGATCTTACATGAGTATGCTCCTGTCCAGGGTAGTTGATTTACCGGTTAAGACAAAAACCAGTGATACCATCGACTGTAAAATATATGATTTAGATGATGATGATATACTTGACCATTAAATAATTAATAAGAAACTCTCACAAATAGAGCAAAACAAGAAATGTTGAAGAATATGGAAACCAAATCATACTTTATGTAAATTTTAGCAACCATTAAAGCCCTAACAAGCCTTTCCATTTTTCTTTTTTTTCTTCTGGATTTAGAAAAGAAAAGAAAAGAAAAGAAAAAAAGCAGAGACACAAATCTTGAGTTTTGAATGATCTTAGATTGGTCTAAGGACCACGTTTCCTTCGGAAGCATAGGCAACCCTGCTGTTGGTCGTTAGGGATCATCCCTCCTCCCTTGGTTGTGTCAATACTCTCCAACATTGGTACAACCTCGTCCATCTCTGGTCTCTTGTCTGGATTTGCATCCCAACATCGCTTCATCACAGCTGCAAGTGCACTCGGACAACACCTCGGTATATCGGGTCTCAGGTTCTGCATTGATCATAATAGCATATTGCATATAGATATGTGCTTATAGCAGAAAGGTTTCAACTGTTACATAATAAGTCTGACTCTACAGAAATGGCAAAAAGATGAAATAATTACTCTATTCATCAGTATTATAACTATACCTGACGGACGACAGCTGAAGTAACCTCAGAGAAAGTAAGGTCAGGGTATGGCATGTCACAGCAATATATCTCCCATAAGCAGATCCCGAAACTGTATACATCGCATTTACGATTATACGGGTTTCCATTGAGAACCTGCAAACAAAGTTGTTTTGTATAAAAATTGGGATTGTTCCAAACTTGATTATGCATTGTGTCAATAGTAGTACCTCAGGGGCCATATAGCCAAGTGTGCCAGTCTCTCCTGTCATGTCATTAGGGTTAGACGCTTCAACTCTCGCAACTCCAAAATCCGCGATTTTGACAGTCCGAGTTTTGTCTAACAACATGTTCTCAGTCTTTACATCTCGGTGAACAATCTTCTGCGAATGAAGGTAACTCAACCTAATGCAACATAACAACAATCCTTAAAGTGTACTACTATACACACAAATAAACACCACGAGCGAGGAAGGCGAAAGAAGGGAGAATATAATACCCTCTAGCGAGATCAAGAGCGAGCTGAACGACGACTTTAAATGTTAACTTTCTTCTTCTGTTCTTGATCAGGTAAGATTTTAAAGCACCACCCGGAAGATATTCAACGACAACACAGCAAATATTGTTTGGCATTGCTAATGGACCACTCTCTGTTTGCAACTGTAAGCCTGATGCACCCATTGTAGCTCCTATAAACTGCAAAAATTCATTCATTGATGACACAAATCTTATATTTATTTCCTCAATATCTAACAATGGTAAGAAAAACAAACAAAAGTAAAATATGAAACCTTAGTAACATTAGGATGATCCAATTTATGCCAAACAGCAACCTCCTGAGCAAAATCAGCTCTCAAAGACACAATCTCAGCTTCTGACCTGTGACCTTCTTCACCCCAATCAAGCAGCTTCACTGCTCAATCTCACCACAATGGTTATTAGCTCAGTAGTCTTCACTTTTTATAATTCAATCACAGTAAAAAAGATGCTAATTTACTACATTCAATTATTCTCTGATATATCTTTTTTTCTTTAAAATTTTAAATGTAAGAAAAGGAGATTGAGACAACAACAGCTGGAATCACATGAAAGATCCACAAAGCAAAGAATCATAAATTATCCAAGGAGACCTTTCAACCAGCTGAAACACTTATGATGGCAAAACCCGTGTCGGCTTCACGGAGATCACAAGAATTGCTTCTACCCACTAAAGAAAAAAAAACTAAAACCAACAACACTCTTCAACTCTCAACAATTTAGCATCTTTAATCTTAAAAATCCAAACTTTATTTCAATCTGACAAGTTTCAAGGTAAAAAAAGACACAAACACAGAACTAAACTATTCAAAGTACAAAGCATGTTCGAATCCGACGATTGAAGTACAAATGTAGTAATAGAATCAGTCTGATCAACCGTAAGAATCTAGCAATCGAAGAATCTAATGCTAAAGTTTGAGACTTTAAACTAAAACAAAAACTGAAACATTTCACAGTGAACAAAAGAGAAGCTAGAACGACGGGTAGGTGAAAGGTAACTAACCGGCAACATCCTGACCATCGTAGATACCACGATGAACGGTGCCGAATGTGCCACGTGCAAGAACAGTCTTGATGATAAGCTTAGAAGGATCGATCTCCCACTCAAGTCTCTGTTTCCTCTTACCAACAAATCCGCCGCCGTTAAGAGCAGCGACAGGGGAAGAAGAAGCAGAGCCACCGATGGCTACGGCGGTTGCTTCGTCTTCATCTCTCTTCTTGTTCTTCTCTAAAGTCAAAGCTCTGCTCAAGTGTCTCTCTAGTTGCTCGTCTAAGCTTTTCAGATCAATCTGATCTGCTCGAACAAACCCATCTTTGCCTTCCTTCATATTTTTCTTTTTGTTAAGAAGAAGATCCTATGAATCTTTGGTTCGTTCGATTCGTATTTTTCTCAGATAATCAAAAGAAACACAGAGGAAAATTGAAAAAAAAAAAAAAAAAAAAAAGGAAAGGGAAGAAGAGAAGAGAAGAGAAGACCGCATGTGAGTGAGCACATGGTCTTGCCTCGACGCAAATGTATCTGTATTTACATTTCTTTTTTTCCTTTTTTATTTTCTTTTTATATTTTCCTTTTGTATTTTCCAAAACTTATTAAGAAAAAAATCTACCTGTTATCAATATTGAGTTATTGTTGACTAGAACAAGTGTTTGTTTGTGGCGAAAAAAAAAAAAAAAAAAAAAAAAGAACAAGTGTTTGTTTGGTACCAACCATTATTTTGGATTGACTATAACAGTTCGGCCCATTTATCTGGAAGCTCGGCCCACCAAAGTTCATAGCAAAGAAGATTTTGAGTGTTTGGTGCAATTTTGTACATCATTCGTGAAAACAATCACAAACTATTTACATCAACTATGGAAAAACTTCGTAAATATTTGCATCAGTTATGCTCATCGTTGCAATGATAACATCATTTATTATAATTGATGGAAATATTTCTATCTTATTTCTATCATTCGATAACATATGTAATAAATATGGAAAATAAAGTTATGTTATATCCACCTTCTCATCTTGATATGATTGCACGAAGAAATATGTCGTGGTATGTCTAAACGATTAGGCATGCTTGTAAGAAACTCACTTTGTGTTCGATGATGCAACCAACTCGACGACGTACGTCCTGAGCTAGTTGCACTATGTATATTGTTCTATTTTCAGCATTTGAAGTGAAAAATGGACCCAACCATGTCTACATTATCTTATTTTTGATAAATCGAACCATATCTCTATACGTATGGAACTTAAGAGTGGTGGTGGTTAAGTGTATTGGTTGCTTTAAATTGGTTGAAGCGTGGATGATTTTGTTGGAGAATCCACGTACCAAATGGCTCCAATCCAATATTGTCTCTTGTCCCTACCCTTCACTATTCTTCTTGATAGTTCAATACTAATTATATGCATTATCCTCTCTCAAGTAAAGCATCACATAACTAGTGGTGCTCTTCTTCTTTATGTATTTTATTATCGCATGTTCCTTGATGCATCAACCATATAACAAATTAAAATACCCCAAAAACACAAAAGCTACAACTTCTATGTCGAAAATATGGGGACTGAATGAATATATTCTATTTTGCTTTTCAAAAGAAAGAAATGAACATTTCTCCTCAACTACAACTCTAAAATCGTATACTTAACTATATATATATTTTTTTTTTTGGTAAGAACTATATATATAAACCCACTTATCTTTATTTAAAGATTTAAAGAGTTCCAGCTCAGTACCCATGCGTGTCTTCCTTTACTTAGAAGGAAATTAAATTTGAGTAGTTTTTATAAAACCCATTACAAAAACATGGTCATGCTTGAAGATGTTTTAAATATCATGTTATGTAACATTAAAGAGATTTGTGGATTTGGCCATGTAACTAGATAGATGGTGTAAGCACGCTCTGTCCAACATGTAAATTATATATGATCTTGCTATTATAACTCATCAGTTCTGTGTTTTGTAATATACCTAACGTGTATGTGTTTTGACCTTAATACACATTAAAGTATGTGTGTATGTGAGTATTTCTTTAACCACGCAAAACAAGGCAAAGAAAGAAAGAAAAATAATAGTGGACCTGCGATATGATTGCTTAGAGACACATAGAAACGGTGGAGGGGTTTGTTTCAGGGCCCTGCACACTATTAAAGCTAGTAATGGATTAAGTGTATCCACTTTTAATTATACACTTAAAGTTAGTTCTATACTATACTTAACGGATTAGTATTACTTATAGTATTATCCTAATGGTTTCAGTATAAATTATATACAGCGTGGTCAATATTAAATGGAACAATGCTTGTATGATTGTGGGCAACAGGATCTCACTTATCTGTACATGAAAAGATTTGGTTCAGGTTACTAAATCATGGGTCTTTCTACACCTATCAATGTAGTTTAAGATTTTATTTTTCCTATCAATAAAAACAAAATTTGGGTATAATTATTACTAGCCAGTGCTATTTACTGACAACAAGAACATGTCTATTTCTTTTCAGGATTAATTAATAAGTTTAAAAACAATTTTGAGATCAACTTTGTATATGATAAATAATCTACGATTAGGTCATTGATTAACTTGATAATCTTAGTGAGGCAGGTTATATGTTTTAGGTTTAGAGTATTCTGAAAAAATATATCATTTTTTTTCCCCTTTTCTTCTAAATGCTCCGTATTAAAGTTTAAGATTTTATACTCCGTTCGTTATCGTTTAAAATATTGTATTTTTGGTATTAATATATTTTAACAATTAATATATGAGTCAATACATTAAAATCAATGGAGACAAAAATGTAATTTTAACCCAAAAATTACATTAAAATTGTAAAACGATACTAATATTAAGTTTTTAAAAACAAAATTTAGGTTCTAAATGGATACTTAATATAAAACGGAGGGAGTAGCGTGACTAGTATTTGAATTGACACATCTACCTATATTTTTCTACCATATGAATGAATCATCGAGTTGATGATCGCAATAATAAATATTCAATACACCCCAATCTTTTTTGTCCTTTGGGAGTCTTTTAATTTGGAGATCCATATGAAAATAGACCAACCAAAACAGGAAGACAAAACATAGTGTTTAACCCCAAAGAAGATGGAAATGGAGGGTGCAAAAAGGTTTTTACAAAAAAGTGAAAAAGATCAACCAATGATTTGTGGGTTTGAACGGTCAAGCCATTGCAAAACGAGTAATATTGATTAAGGAATGAATTATTGGATCTTCCTCTTGTCTTTCACATTGGATACTTTCACCACTGTTTCTTTCTTACCATGGACGGAACCAACAAAGCAACAAACACAAAAGTGAGTCTCTACTACTATAATATAAAACATCCTTTGACCACATATATGCTACATTTGAAATTCAATAAACTCATTAGCTTAGTCTTCAAAACTCATTAGTTTGAACGATTAAAACATGTAATCAAGTGATTTTGTGTTGTCACTTGAAAAAAAAAAAAAAAAAGAAAAAAAAAAGATTGAAACCAAAAGAATAAAAATGACAAATCTTAATGGATTTGGTAAACACTGTGGCATCACTATGTACCTTAAGGCACGCACGCACGTATCCGTGTTATGATCAAAGGTCAGTTTCGTCTCATCTCTTTTCTTTATATAATCTTCTTCGTTGCTCACTTCTCTCTTCGCCATTTACTAAACCAAACCTCTTCCTCTTTTTAAGAACTTCAAGTTTCTCATATCATTCTTTATTCCTCTTCCGTGAGTTCTCTCTTTTCTCCGGAGACTTAAATTACTCTGTTTTCTTGCTTTCTTCTTAGTAGTATTTGGATGGGATTGATCTAAAGATAAGACAAGAAAGAGCAAAGCAGAAACATGCGGTGGTGGTTGTGTCTTTATACCTCTGTTTTTCGTACAGTAGTCTCTTTGAATGTCTTCTGTCGCGTGATTCTGTAATCTGAGATCTTACACAAACACACACACACAGAGCTTTTATATTTCCTCAATGGGGTCTTCTTTTTTCTTCACACTGCCTTGCTTCATCCCCCAAATTATTTGATTTTTTTTTTTTAATTTCCGTTTTACTTTTGGATACTCTGTTTTGGGGAAGGGAAACAGTTGGTGAGAAAGTAGTTATGGTTTATCAATCAGCCGGACAGACAAGATTTAGGACACTCAAACACGAACACTGTACCGCAGGAAACATCGTTGTTAGAGTCATTGCTTGCTTTCAACCTCTCCAAGATTGCCAGGTTCCTTTCTTGTTTGATGACTCTTTGTTCTGTTTTAAACCCCCAAAAATTATTTCTTTCTTTATTGATTCTGTATTGGCTTTGATGTTGTGTATCACGCAGGCTGAATATTTTCGTCAGTTGTTGAAGCCCGTCACGTAGATTAGCTCGATCTCTCTCATTCTAATCCCTTTGTGTCTTCTGTGTTGATTGGTAAGTTGAAAACTTTTTCACATATAAATCTATAAGTTTCTTTCTTTTGGCATCCCTTTCTTGATTAGATTGCTGATTTGTTTGAGTTAATGTCCTCTGTTTTTTTGGGATCGGACAGTTGTTTTATTTTTTGGGACAGTTGATTTGTTTAGTGTTGGATTGGATGGGACAAGAACGTGGTTTGTGGTTTCCTACTCAGCGTTTGAGTTCATTGGCTTCCATAGCTTTGTCTCAGCTTGGGCAGCAAGACTTGAAGTTTATATCTAAAACTTGTGGTGACACCACCGACATGTTTTCTACTCGTGGTTCTTATCATGTTTCAACTCAATCCTACTTTGATGGGTCTTGTGGTTGGGTTAATGGGTCATCCCACCTGCAGCAGCAGTTCTTGCCTCTTCAAAAGCCATGTATGATGAAGAAGATGCCTCTTAAAGCAGATGGTGCTATATCTAAAGCTGAGGGACAATGTAGTCAGAAGAGGTTCCTCGTGTTTGATCAGTCAGGAGACAGAACAACTCTGCTACTAACTTCAGATATCCTGAAATCTTTTGAGACACTGAAACCATCTGCATGTCCTGATATGAAGGAAGAACTCAAAAGAAGCAACAAAGATTTGTTTGTTTGTCAAGGAATGCAAGGTAATAGCGAACCGGATTTGAAGGAGGATACGGAAGAACTAAATGCGCTGCTTTACTCCGAAGACGAGAGTGATTATTATTGTTCTGAAGAAGATGAGGTTACAAGCTCAGGCCAATCCCCAAGTACTCTAGTATCATCCTGTGGGGAGCAAGAAACATTTGTTGAAAGCTATGGACAGCCATTACATTGTAAAAAGAGAAAGATACGAGAGAGCTCAGCGTCTTTTCTCGACATCTCGAATGAGCAGATGCTTGATGCTGAATCGGGCTGTGACAACACAGAGATTAGTATTTTGAAACGTTCCAAGATGTCTATCAACAAGATAGGAGAAGAGAAGATATTTGAGACTATAAGCCTTTTACGCAGTATAGTCGTCCCCGGGGAGGAATTGGTAGACCCGATCTTAGTTATCGATAGAGCTATCGATTACCTCAAGTCGTTGAAGATGGAAGCCGAAAAATCGCGGACACAAGGCTCTTTGTTTGCATGATATATAAGAGAAATGTTTTCTAAACAAAGTAGTATGACATATTGGATTGTGGTAAGTACTCTTGTCAAACTACAAAAAGGATCAGCTTGCTGGTTGTTACAAGAGAAGGAATCGGATTAAAACGAAAATCGAATATTTGTTGATGATTAAGCTTGATTGCTAAATTTATTGTATCATGTAATGTTGATTTGTTTCTTTTCTTTCTATAATATTTTTGATATATATGGTTTATAATTGTTTATGAATGAGTGATGAGTCTACTCATGAATCAAAATTCATATTATTTTCATTGTTACAAATTACACTTCGTCACTTAATTAAAAAAATTTAATAGATATAAAACAGATTTTACAAGTATTCCTCTCGCTCAACTCTTTCATCTCCTAAATTGAGTTTGAACAATTCCTAACTAAAAAGTGACATTTTCCATTTTTAGGATGGGGGCTCAGTAAAGTTTGGTTGGATTTTTATTTTTTAAGGAAAATGGTAACTTTCAGGAGTAACAAAGCAAGATAGATGCACGTTTCAACCCTTTCAACTTAGTAAATTATGTCATCCATTTGCAACCACAATCCAAAAACAAAACTCCTTTTGTGTGAGAGAGAGACAAGAGATCACACCATACAAAACTACACATATGTTCTAAAATTGCTAGAGACAAGAGCACTTAGGTTTGGTTCCTTCCATTCTGAAATGAAATGAATCGGCCTAGAAATTTCCAGGATCCTTCAATTTTTCAAGAGAGTGTAGCAAAGAGTCTCTGATCCGTTTGCTGATTCTCATGGCCAGACGGGTCTTTGAAGCCTGGAAGGGAAGTAATGTAAGGTTCTTTGCTTCTACTCTTTCTCCTTTTTTTCTTTCTGGAATCTGCATTCAAGAAATCTTTAGTTATTTAGGTTTAATTTCTTAAACGCCACATTTTTTATGAGTTCACTAAGGCATGTAAGTTTTCTAGTTCTATATGGTGAGAACAATGTGGATATTGTAACTTATTGCTATCATTGCCTCTAGCGATTTAATGTCTTAATTTTGAAACATGAACATCTTATTTCGTTAGATTCTCTTTGGTTTATGGCTGATAGCTAGTTATCGCGATTTTTAGGACATTGATGATTGATAAGCTTTCTCTTCATGATCATTAACACTTGTGAATATAGTTCTTAATGTTTTGTTCCACACCACACAATGATCATCATCTTTCTCTTTCGTTGCTCTTTTGTAGAAATTTTTATTTGGTGGGAGAGTGATATTTGGGCCAGATGTTTGGTCTCTTCCTTTTACATTACTGCTCATCGTTACGCCAGTTTGTTTCTTTTCTGTGTTTGTTGCAACACATCTTCGCCAAAAACTCTTACCAAACGATGAGGGACATGTCATCTTAGTGGCAGGAATTCTACTCACTGTCTTTGTAAGTCTTAATATGTTCTTTCTTCTTGCTTAGAGTTTCATTTATGCTTAAAAAAAAACTAGATATATAACTGCTTTTAATAGGTACTGATCCTTCTCTTCATCACTTCGGCGCGCGATCCTGGAATCGTTCCAAGAAATTTGCATCCGCCAGAGGAAGAGATATGCTATGATACAACTATATCAAGTGATGGAAGACAAACACCAACAGTTCAGATTCCTAGGACTAAAGAAGTCATGGTTTATGGTGTGACCGTTAGAGTTAAGTATTGCGATACATGCATGCTTTATCGGCCTCCTCGTTGCTCCCATTGTTCCATTTGCAACAACTGCGTTGAGCGTTTTGATCATCATTGCCCTTGGGTTGGCCAATGCATTGGAGTGGTAAGCTGTAACCAAAACCATATTAAACCAGCTAGGAGCATATATATGCAGTTCATGACAATTTTGTGTGTGTGTGTTGTGGTCAGAGAAACTATAGGTACTTCTTCATGTTCGTTTCCTCTGCAACTCTTCTCTGTATCTACCTTTTTTCTATGTCTGCTTTATACGTCAAAGTTATGATGGATCAACATCAAGGCACTGTGTGGAAGGCAATGCGAGAATCACCTTGGGCGGTTATGCTGATGATATATTGTTTTATATCTCTGTGGTTTGTTGGGGGGCTTACCGGGTTTCACTTGTACCTCATTACCACAAACCAGGTTAGTTTTGTTCTGTTCTTGGTATATATATGTATTGAGTTATCTGTACCACATCTTGATATACACATTGCAATTTATTACAGACCACCTATGAGAATTTCCGGTACAGATCAGACAATAGAATCAACGTTTATAATCGCGGTTGTTCAAACAATTTTCTTGAGATATTTTGCTCAAAAGTTAAACCGTCGAGGAATGACTTTAGAGCGTTTATCAAAGAAGAATCTCCGAGAAATATTGCATTGGCTACCACATGGGAACGAGCGGCGGAAGCAGATCAAGCAAATAGGGAAGAACGGCGTCAGAAGGTGGAAGACGAGCTAGGTACCGATGAAGATATTATGAACTTACAGCAAAGTTCTAATGTAGAAGATGGCAGCGATTCAGGGCATCAAAAAGTAGATATTGACATTGTGAGAATAGGGTCTAATGAGAGAGCACCAACAATCCAGTTAGAAGCTAGGCATGGTAACCGGGGAACAAGAAACAACGCACAAGAAGACGTCAAAGCTGAATCTTTAGTCAAGGAAAGTAGAAGCTATGCAGCTGCAGAGGAAGGACGGTGAAGGGTGAACTATAGTAGTTCTTTTGAAGCTTTTATGTTTCTTACTAAGTTTGATTGTTGTGAAATTTTCAATATTTTATGGGTTGGTTTGATTTGTGAGTTGTGAACACTATGGTGGGATAAATGTGAATAAGTTTAGTGTTAGATTGGGTAGAGATCAAAATTTAGATTTAATTGTTCAACTTTTTGAATTTTTTTGCAAGTGATGATTTCTGATGATGTTTAGGTTACCCTTACCCTATTGCCTTAAAATAGACAGAACAACAGTTTTTCTTATGACCAAAGTATTACAAACCATACGTACCGACCTATTTATAGAAATCATCCAAAGTGAAAAGAAAGAAAAGAAAAGCTAAATTGAGTAAAACATGACCAAATTTGACATCCTTAAAATAGATGCCGATGTTATATATATATGACACAAAGTGATATAACCACAAGCCAACAAAAGCAAAAACCAAAAATCTGATTACCAAGACTTTGAGGTCAAGAGAAATAAAACCTTTATTCCGGTGACGAAATGGCTTCTTATTCTGGTTGTTTCTTCGTCGTTACTTTGACAGTTCTGTCACAATTTCTCTTAACCTCAGCCTTGGCCAACAGAGAATTCATCGATGCTAATTGCCAACGAGTCAAGAACAAACCATTCTGTGTCGAAACCTTAACAACCTATCCTCCTGCTTCTTCTGCCACCGGCCTGGTACTAACCATCTAACCAATATTAACCTATTCAATCATAATTATAATCTCAAACACTTCTATATAGATTTTGATGGTTTTATTTGCTTATGCGTCTATAGTAACGCCATTATTCACAAAAGTATTCATTAGAAAACATGTGAAGAACCAAAATCCGAAACTTTTAAGTAACCAATGATGAGATCAAATAAAATACATTTAACATTACTTGTGTGTTTTAAATATGTAGTTGCCACTAGCTGAGGCCGTGCTCGGCCTTGCAATAACCCATTCCGAGAAGACAGCCGTTTTCGCGGCTGAGGTGGCCAAAAAGGATGCTACATTGAAGACATCGTTCAACGAGTCCCACAACGCGTATGTTGGTATTGTGGCGTCTCTAAAGAGTGCAAAACTAGAACTCGTGGATTCACCAGACACTGCCAACTACGACGTCATGGTCTCTGGCGATGAAATAAGGCGTGTTAGGGGTTTGGTCGAGAAAAACACCGACCCGTCTTCAAAGACGCTCATGGAGATGACTTTGCAGATGGAGAAGCTTCTTGATCTCGCTGCTGGAGCCACCGATGCCGTTGACGACGACGATGAGAACTTACATCGTCGTGCTTGATGTTTTAACTAAGTTTGGTTTTTGGTTTACTTTTGTTAAGAAAGCATGCATGGATTCAAAGGGACATATGAAAACTATTTGTCCCTTATAATTGAATCTTAGGATAATTTCAAATTGTAATTTGTGATATTAATGTCGAAGCAATTATTTTTTTATACATGCAAAGCGTAAATACCGTAGTTGGCGTATTTTTATACATGCAAGCGTAAATACCGTAGTTGGCTTTACAATGTTTACTAGTATTTGTGTCCTCGTTTTCATTTCATCGCCTTCGAAGATATATGTAGAGAATTATTTTTTTAAGACATAAATTATCTACCCAGTCATATAAAAGAGTATAAAACATAAATAACTACACAGGTAACCAGATGTAAAAATCAGGTAAAAATCTAGTGGTCTCTACAATTCCAGTGATTTTTGGGACGAAAGCGCGAAACCACATGACATGCTTTGGTTTCTGAACCATTAAAAAAAATAAAACAACTAGTTTTTGGTAGATAAAATGAAATTTCTAAGAAATAAATTTAGATTCAAATTATGTTGGAATTATAAGAATGATGGTTACTATAAGAAAATGGACGAGAAATAGTAAAAAATACAAAAGAAAAATGATGAAAATGATGAAGTCATGAAACTCTAGAGGGGGAAGCACACAATTCGGTGTGGGAAAATAAATAAAAGTTTTGACCAAAATCTTGTCCAAATTCCCATAATTTTTCTCTATATAACAATTTATATTAAAAAAAAAATAAGTGGGTTCTTGCATGCATATCCAAATTTACAAAAATAAAGTGGCCACTGTTTTTTCATGTCATATGTTGTGTTTGTGAATAATTATTTTTTCAAAAAGGGTATAATGGTTTATTTTCCACCTTACATATGCCATTGATCTAATTTTAGGTCATTTTATGGTCATTCACCAAATTCTCCGAAAAAAAAGATAATAACAATAAGTTCAACCAAATACTGTCATCCATCTTTATTTTGTAATTTCTATAAAGAGTAATAAAAGAAAACCAGAAATTCTAAAGAGAACGTAAATGGGAACAAAATCTTAAACTTTGACCAATCTTGAAGCAAATGGGCCAAAGCTGTACTGTGTATCTGTTATGCGTGCAAGTGTTATATAAACCAAACCACAATTGTTGAACAAGAAAGTACCAAAATCAAAATTTTAACTAAAGAAATGGCTTCTTCTTCCTGTTGTATTGGCCTCCTTTCTCTTGTAGTTCTGTTACCATTTCTCTTAGTCTCTGCTTCGGCCACAAAATACATCGACGCCATATGCCAACGTACCAGTACTACCCACAAAGCCTTCTGCGTCAAAACTTTGAACGCATACCCTTCTGCGGCTTCTGCCACCAGCACGGTACGTACCAATACATATTTTCCAAAGCCAAATAGATAGAGTTTATATAACTTGTTAGACCATAAACATTAGCGTATCTAGGCCCAGTCCCACACCTAAAAGAAAAGGAAAAAAAAAAAAAAATTGAGGCGGGACGTACGCAGAATTGCGACGGTCCTTCCTCTTATTTGCGGACCCCACTGACACATGGCGGCCCGCAATTGGTTAACTTTATATTTTTTTTTTAAATTGAAAAAAAAGAAAAAAAAGAACGTGACAAAAATGTGTCCTAACCAATGTGGATGCCCTTACTTTCCAACGGTTCTTGTTTCTTCTTGACCGATCATATATTTTCTTGAAAATTGTCAGTTAAAGTTTTGAAGTTATATTTTTAATTTGAATCTGTAAATGTTATTCGTAGTTAGCGTCTCGAAAATTCTAAAGATTTCGTGTTTTAGATTTCTTAAATACAAGTATCTCCATGTCTTATTCTCAATCATTATTATTTGGATATGTACGTAGTTCCAAGCGGCTGGGGCTACGCTCAACCTCGCCATATCTTATGCCCATAGGTATGCGGTTTTTGCGGGAAAAGTGGCAAAGGAGAATCCAAAATTGAAGAAGGATTTTGCGACGATTCAGGATGCCTTCATGACCATTAGCATGTCTCTCAAAAGTGCTAAACTTGAACTCAAGGATTCGCCGGACACCGCCAACTATGACGTCATGGTTTGTACCGACAGCACAATGATAGTGAAGAACTTGATCGGTAAAAATACAGACAAGGTGTCGAAGACTGTCATGTTGATGACACTAAAGATGGAGAAGCTTCTTGCTATGGCCGTTGGAGCCACCGTAGCTGTTGGCGGGTAAAGACGACGATAAGAACACATACCATCGTCAGATTTGTCATATTTAGTTTACTCTATATTTAGTTTACTTTTGAGTATAAGGTTGTTGTTATTTAATTCTAGAGGATGTGATGTTCTGTTTTCTATGAGGATCAAAACATTTCTCTTCGATAGAACATATGCATGTCTTGAAAACCCAACTACGACGTCATGGTCTCTGGCGATGAAATAAGGCGTGTTAAGGGTTTGGTCGAGAAAAACACTGACCCGTCTTCAAAGACGCTCATGAGATGACTTTGCAGATGGAGAAGCTTCTTGATCTCGCTGCTGGAGCCACCGATGCCGTTGACGACGACGATGAGAAGTTACATCGTCGTGCTTGATGTTTTAACTAAGTTTGGTTTTTGGTTTACTTTTGTTAAGAAAGCATGCATGGATTCAAAGGGACATATGAAAACTATTTGTCTTGAATCTTAGGATAATTTCAAATTGTAATTTGTGATATTAATGTCGAAGAAATTATTTTTTTTATACATGCAACTATGCAAGCGTATATACCGTAGTTGGCAGTATTTTTATACATGCAAGCGTTTTCTTTTGCTTATTCCGTATAGGCTTTACAATGTCTACTAGTATTTGTGTCCTCGTTTTCATTTCATGGATATATGTAAAGAATTATTTTTTTTAAGACATAAATTATCTACCCAGTCATATAAAACAGTATAAAACATAAATAACTATACAGTTAACCTGACGTAAACATCTCAGGTGAAAATCTACTGGTCTCTCTAATTCCAGTGATTCTTGGGACGAAAGCACGAAACCACATAGCATGTTTTGGTTTCAGAACTATTAAAAAAAAGCAACAACTAGTTTTTGGTAGATAAAATGAATTTCTAAGAAATAAATTTAGATTCAAATTATGCTGGAATTTTAAGAATGATGGTTACTATAAGAAAATGGACAAGAAATAGTTAAAAATAGAAAAGAAAAAGGAGGAAATTGATGAAGTCATGAAACTCTGGAGGGGGAAAGCACACAAATCCGTGTGGGGAAATAAATAATGTATTCAAAGTGTAATTTCAAATGATTTGTAAAAAGTTTACAAATCATGTGTTATTCAATCATGAATTTCAAAAAGTTTCATGAAATCCAGTGTCATTTAATTAATCATTTTAAAATCTACCTTAAAATCCACTGTTATTGAAAATAATTTGTCGATTTGATTTTAAATGATTTTGGAGGATTTCAGGGAACTTCTTTTGTTAAAAATACAAGAATCAAATCTCATAGTTTTATGTGGGTGAGATTTGAAAAGATTTTACATAAATCATATGAAGTTCCCAAAAATCAACAAAATCTCAATAAAATTCAAATCTCTTAAAATGCTACTTTGAATACACTCCCCTTAGTTTTGACCAAAATTTTGTCCAAGTGCCCATAATTTTTCTCTATATGACAATTTTTATATAAAAAAATAAGTGGGGTTCTTGCATGCATATCCAAATTTATAAAAATAAAGTGGCCACTGGTTTTTCATGTCATGTGTTGTGTTTGCGAATAATTATTTCCACCTTACATATGACATTGATCTAATTTTAGGCCATTTTATGGTCATTCACAAAATTCTGCGAAAAAAAGATAACAACAATAAATTCAACCAAATATTATCATCCATCTTTATTTTGTACTTTCTATTAAGAGTATTAAATAAAAATTAGAAATTCTAAAGAGAACGTAAATAGGAACAAAATCTTAAAGCAAATGGGCCAAAACTGTACTGTGTATATGTTATGCGTGCAAGTGTTATATAAACCAAACCACAATTGTTGAACAATAAAGTACCAAAATCAAAACATTTAACTAAAGAAATGGCTTCTTCTTCCTCTTGTGTTGGCCTCCTTTCTCTTGTGATTCTGATACCATTTCTTTTAGTCTCTGCTTCGGCCACAAAATACATCGACGTCATATGCGAACGTGCCGGTACTACCCACAAAGCCTTCTGCGTCAAAACTTTGAACGCATACCCTTCTGCGGCTTCTGCCACCAGCATGGTACGTACCAATAATACATATTTTCCAAAGCCAAATAGATAGAGTTTATATAACTTGTTACGTTCCAACGTCGGTTCTTGTTTCTTCTTGACCGATTATATATTTTCTTGTAAAATTGTCAGTTAAAGTTTTGAAGTTATATTTTTAATTTGAATCTGTATATGTTATTCGCATTTAGCGTCTCAAAAATTCTAAAGACTTGGCCGTTTTAGATTTTTTAAATACAAGTATCTCCATGTCTTATTCTCAATGATCATTATTATTTGGATATGTACGTAGTTCCAAGCGGCTGGGGCTACGCTCAACCTCGCCATATCTTATGCCAATAGGTATGCGGGTTTTGCCGGAAAAGTGGCAAAGGAGAATCCAAAATTGAAGAGGGATTTTGCGACGATTCAGAATGCCTTCAGAGGGATTAGCATATCTCTCAAAAGTGCTAAACATGAACTCAAGGATTCGCCGGACTTTGCCAACTATGACGTCATGGTTTGTACCGACGGCACAACGATGATGAAGAAATTGATCGGTAAAAATACAGACAAGGTGTCGAAGACTGTCATGTTGATGACACTAAAGATGGAGGAGCTTATTGCTATGGCCGTTGGAGCCACCTTAGCTGTTGGCGGGTAAAGACGACGATAAGAACACATGCCATCGTCAGATTTGTCATATTTAGTTTACTTTTGAGTATAAGGTTGTTGTTATTTAATTCTAGAGCATGTGATGTTCTGTTTTCTAAGAAGATCAAAACATTTCTCTTCGATAGAACATATGCATGTGTTGAAAACCCAACTTTCATAATACCATGAATATCCATTAAATTCTTCAAATTTAAGAGTAACAAAACACTCAAATTCATTACAAATTTAATAAATCTATCAATGTGCTCTTTTTTATTGATAGAATATTATTTTACTTTCTTTTACTAACATTTTGTGACTTTGGTAATAATACCAAATATAATTGTATTTTACATGTTAATTCAATATTGTGAATTATATATGAGAAAAAGAATCAAATATAATATGTATATCTAAAAACAATTGTAACATACTAGTATTAGTGAATTATTTGTACGATATATAACATGTTATTTTTTGTTTTTAGTACAGTTTTATTACTCGGTCAAATAATTTGTTTTCATTCTTTAGGGGGTGTTACTGGTTTCTAATTCTTAAAGAATTTAGATGACTCTAGTAAAATCATAGATTGTATGTAAATGAAATATTTTAAATGATTGATAGAAATATTTTTTTGTAATCTTAATGATTAGTTTTTCTATAGTCTTGTAAAAAGTCTCTCAAACAATCTCATTATTTATAACATACTTTTTATGACTTTATATTGTAAAGAAAAGTGTTCAAAATCATAAACCAATAACATAATAATTTGATTAATTAACAATGAGAGATTCTTTTGTTTTAATTGAATAACACAAAACTTTTAATGACTTACTAAAATTCTGAATCCAATAATATATTTATGAAGATTTTGAATGAATTTTAACAAATCAATAACTAATAACACCAAACTTTAAAAGAGTTTAATAAAATCTTGATTCAATAACACCAATTCCACATAACATCTAAAGTCATTAAAACACCATATAAATCTCAAACCAATAACACCCCCTTAATGTTTGATACACACAACATATATTTTCTTTTATGGTCATATACCCATTTGTTATTGACCAAATCTTTTAATTCATACAATGAAAATCTGATATTGGAAAAAAGAAAAAGGTAAGTGGAAACATTGACCAATTTCAAGACACAAAAGATAATAAAAATTGACCAATTTGGAACCAGATGGGTAAGGGTTAAGTATTTTATTCTCTGGCAAAGTATATTAATAATTTAATATACAAACCAAATACAGTTGTAATTAGTTGCTTTACAAAGAATGAAAATCTAGAAATTAGGAAACTAAATTAAATGCATTGACCAAATTTGGAAGATATGGTAAAGGGTTAAGTATCTTTATATGCCTACAAAGTAGTATATAAACCACAACCACAGTTGATGAAATAATACAATACCAAATATCTAATATATTCTAAAGAGCCGATGATGGCTTCTTCCATCTACTGCTTTGGTATCGTGTCTCTGGCTGTTCTGTTACCATTTCTCTTACACTCTGCTTCGGCCACAAGTTACATTGACGACATATGCCATTCTGTCGCCGACAAAGCCTACTGCGTCAAGACCTTGAGTGCATACCCTCCGGTTGCCTCTGCCCCCAGTAAGGTACTAATAATTTTATCTTACCAAACCAAAATATCACTCTTGTTATTTCTTGGTTTAGAATTGAATTATGTAGTTATGAAAACAAATATTACGTTACATGTCTCATACTCAAATCATGATCATTTATTTATTATTTCGATATGTACGTAGTTCGAAGCGGCTGTGGCGACGCTTAAGCTAGGAGAGTCTTATGCCGATAAGACAGCGGAATTTGCGGGTAAAGCGGCAAAGGAGGATCCAAAGTTGAAGAAGGTTTTGGAGGATTGTCAAGACGAATTTGTGGACATTAGCGGGTCTCTCAAGGGCGCTGCCTTGCAACTCAGGGATGAACCAGAGTTAGCGAACTATGCAGTCATGCGTTGTTACGACAGCACAACGAGAGTGACGAATTTGATCGGGAAAAATACAGACAAGGCTTCCAAGACTGTCATAGCAATGACAATGGTGTTGGGAAAATATATTGCTCTCGGAATTGGAGCCACCGTAGCTGAAGGTGGGTAAAGACGGTTATCAAAATGTTTACTCTGATCAAAGGTTGTGGTTATTTAATTTTAAGGAATGAAATGTTTTGCTTATAAAATGATCAATAAATTTCTTCTTTGAGATTGTCAATTAAAATTTTGAAGTTTTTTTTTATTTGACTCTATAAATAATTTCGCATTTACCATCTTGAAACTTCCAAAGACTTGGTTGCACAAAATTAAATAGGTTGAAAATATTAAATTGAATAAAATTGGATTGAATATCGTTCAACTCATTCATTCATTTTTTCAAATTTTTAGGTTGAATGTGTTGAACAATTTTTCCAACCTGTTCAACTCAAATGGTGAAAATTGGCTGAACATTATTTTCCAACTTCTTCAACCTCTTAATTAGCATTTTCGATTTTGTGATTACAAGTATGCCTATGTCTGATCATCATTATTCTTTGAATATGTACGTACAGTAAAACCTCTATAAATTAATACTCGATAAATTAATAATTTCTATAAATTAATAAATTTCTCCGGTCTCAACTTGGGACCAGTGTAATTTTAGACACATTTCGATAAAATAATAAGATAATAAATTTTTTGAAAATCCTTTGTAAATATATGGTCCCATCAATATTATAAATTAATAATTAGGTAAAATTTTCAAAATATATGTATATATAGACACATTAGTTTTTGTTAGATTTTATTTCTAATATTTTACTATATGAAAAATAGTTAGCATTCTCTTTTAATACATAATAATTATTGTTTTATTTGTAATTGATTATATAAAATACTAATTATCATAATTAAATCTTATTTTTAAATATTGTTTTGAAAATATTTTCCAAATTAGGAATATCTTTCTATAAATTAATAATTATTAATTTATCGATAAATTAATACCTCTATAAATTAATAAATTTTCATGGTCCCAACATTATTAATTTATAGAGGTTTTACTGTACTTAGTTCCAAGCGGATGAGACCATATGCCTATAAATATGCGGGTTTTGCCAGAAAAGCGGCGAAGGAGAATCCAAACTTCAAGAAGCGTTTTGCGGCGATTCAAGATGCCTAAAAGTGCTGCCTCAAATATTATACTCCCTCTGTTTCATTATAAGTGATGTTTTAGCCAATTTTTATTGTTTCAGTATAAGTGATGTTTTTCAATTTCCTATGCAATAATTTAATGTATTTAATATTTTTTGACCAATTATATTTTACATCATATTTTCTTATTGGTTGAATTCATATTAATTAATAAAGTTTTTATGGAAAATATGTAAATTATAATTTTTATTATTTAGTGTGCCAAAACCTTATACATCACTTATAATAAAACAGAGGGAGTATAATTATTATAACATGTTTATTGAATATAGTGAATTACCGACATCACAATGATACTGAAGAACTTGATCGGTAAAAATACAGACATGGTGTCAAAGACTGTCATGTTGATGACACTAAAGATGGAGAAGCTTCTCGCTATGGCCGTTGGAGCTACCGTAGCTGTTGGAAGGTAAAGACGACGATAAGAACACATACCATCGTCAGATTTGTCATATTAGTTTACTCTAGAGTACAAGGTTGTTGTTATTTAATTCTAGAGCATGTGATGTTCTGTTTTTTAAGAAGCTCAAAACATTTCTCTTCGATAGATCATATGCATGTGTGGAAAGCACAACTTTCATAATACCATGAATATCCATTAAATTCTTCAAATTTTAATAGTAACAAAACACTCAAATTCATTACGAATTAAATAAATCTATCAATGTGACTTTGGTTAAAATACCAAATATAATTGTATTTTACATTTAACTGAATATAGTGAATTATATATCAGATAAGAATCAAATATAATATGTATATCTAAACAGCAATTGTAACATACTAGTATTAGTGAATTATTTGTACGATATATAACATGTTATTTTTTTTTTGTTTTTAGTACAATTTTATTACTCGGTCAAATAATTTGTTTTCATTCTTTAATGTTTGGTACATACAACATATTTTTCTTTTTATGGTGATATACCCATTCGTTATAAAAAAAAGAAGGAAAAGTTAATAATAGTAAGATTGACCAAAAAGTTTTATTCATACAATGAAAATCTGAAATTGGAAAAAAAAAAAAAAAAAAAGTGGAAACATTGATCAATTTGGAACCAGCCAACCAGGTGAGGTGAGTAAGGGTTAATAAATTAATTTAATAACCAAACCAGATACAGATGTAATTAGTTGCTCTACAAAGAATGAAAATCTACAATGGAAATTAAATTAAATGCATTGACCAAATTTGGAAGATATGGTAAAGGGTTAAGTATCTTTATATGCCTGCAAAGTAGTATATATATATATAAACCACAACCACAGTTGATGAAATAATACAATACCAAATATCTAAAATATTCTAAAGAGGCGATGATGGCTTCTTCCTCCTACTGCTTTGGTGTCGTGTCGGTGTCTCTGGCTGTTCTGTTACCATTTCTCTTACACTCTGCTTCGGCCACAAGTTACATTGACGCCCTATGCCATTCTAACCCCGACAAAGCCTTCTGCGTCAAAACCTTGAGTGCATACCCTCCGGTTGCCTCTGCCACCAGCAAGGTACTAATAATTTTTATCTTACTAAACCAAAAGGTTTTCCATAAAGGTTTAGAATTGAACATGCAGCTAAGAAAACATATAATACGTTCATGTCTCATACACTCAAATCATATATAGACACATCATTATTATTATTTCGATATGTACGTAGTTCCAAGCGGCTGTGGCAACGCTTGCCCTAGGAGAGTCTTATGCCAATAAGACAGCGGAATTTGCGGGTAAAGCGGCAAAGGAGGATCCAAAGTTGAAGAAACATTTGGCGGCTTGTCAAGACGAATTTGTGGACATTAGTGGGGCTCTCAAGTTTGCTGCCTTGCATCTCAAGGAAGATCCACTGGATGCGAATTACACAGTCATGCGTTGTTACGACAGCACAACGATAGTGACGGATTTGATCGGGAAAAATACAGACAAGGCTTCCAAGACTGTCACAGCGATGACAATGATGTTGGATAAATATATTGCTCTCGGCGTTGGAGCCACCGTAGCTGTTGGCGGGTAAAGACGATTATCAAAATGTTTACTCTGATCAAAGGTTGTGGTTATTTAATTTTAAGGAATGAGATGTGTTTTGAATTTATAAGATGATCAATACATTTCTTCTTTTGAGATTGTCAATTAAAATTTTGAAGTTTTAGAAATAGCTTAGAAATCGCATCAACAACTCGCAAAATCGAGAAACAAGAAGCAATCAAGCAACTCATCTTCAACAATACAACTGCTCTATTCGCAAAATCGAGAAACAAGAAGCAATCAAGCATAAGACTTAATCAGAATGCTCCGATACCATTTTAAATCCGATACATCAAAGAAATCAAATAAGAAAAGAGAAGAGAAGAGAAGAGAAACTATTTTAATCTGATAAAGAGTTTGTTACAAAAGCTTAACGTCTAAAACGAAACTAATTAGACTTCCACCAAAAAAGGTTGTTCTTATTGAATTCTAGGGATGTTTCTATATATTTTTAAGAAGATCAATACGCATGTGTTGAAAACACAACTTTCATCATACCATGAATATCCCAATAACTTCTTCAAGTTTAATAGTAACTTATTTACAAAAAGAAAACTTAAACTCATTACAAAATTTAATAAATCTATCAACTTTTACAATCAATTAAGTAAAAAAAAACAATAACACCCCTTAACAAATTTAGCTCCTACTAAACGGCTAAACCTCCTAAATCAATAAAACAATAACACCCCTTAACAAATTTATGGTCTAATTGCAAACACTTTCGCATGCAAACTAATTCAGATTTGTCTAGTTTAGAGATAATTTTTTCCTTGTTGAAATATGAAATGAAAAGAGATGTCAGTCTATATACTAAGGAACTCGTTAATTTTTCAAATTATATAAGCAAAGCGAAACCTCTCATAAAACTATATATTTGTTTTAAGTTTGTGTCTCATGTTTGTTTAACGAAAATATTAAGAAGAAAACAAATTAATTAGTAAACGTCAATTTGTAGAGTTACCTCAAGAGGTGCCAATAGGGTTTTGAATTCCCGACTCTTGGGATAGGAAAAAACTAAATAGAATAGCAACCAATGTGCTCTTTTTGATTGATAGAATATTACTTTATGAATCAGTCAAATAATCTGTTTCCAAATTTTAATTTTCGGATAACACAATGATCTATTAGAGATATAATCAACGATATGTTTTAAAAGCAAAGGAAAAGCTAATAATAATTAATAAGATTGACCAAAAAATTTGATTCATACATTATAAATCTAAAAAAAAAAAAAGGAAAAAAGTAAGTGGAACATTGACCAATTTTAAACCAGGAAAGTAAGGAATCACAAAGTATTAAAAACACACAACTAATGAACAGTAGATTTAATAATAACATTGACCAAAGACAGTAACGTTGATTAATTTGTATTCAAAGAATGAAACTCAAGAATTTGGAAATTAAATCAAATACGTTGACTAAATCTGAATCATACGGGTAAGGGGTCAAGTATCTTTTATGCGACCAAAGTAGTATATAAACCACAACCACAGTTGATGAAGAATAATACAACACCAAATATCCAAAATATTCTAAAGAGAGGACTATGGCTTCTTCTTCCTACTGCTTTAGCGTCCTGTCTCTGGCTGTTCTGTTACCATTTCTCTTGCACTCTGCTTCGGCCACAAGTTACATTGACGCCATATGCAAAAAATTCACGGGGGACAAAGCCTTCTGCTTGAAGACCTTGAGTGCATACCCTCCAGCTGCTTCTGCCACCAGCCCGGTACTTATAATTTTATCTTACAAAACCAAACTTGAAACTACTTGTTACTTACCAAATGTTTTTGTTTCTTGGTTTTGAATTGAATTATGTAGTTATGAAAACAAATATTACGTTACATGTCTCATACTCAAATCATATATAGATAGATACATCATTTTTTTTATTATTTCGATATGTAGCTCCAAGCGGGTTTGGCGACGTTTAAACTAGCAGAGTCTTATGCGTATAAGACAAAGGCTTTTATGACAAAAGCGGCAAAGGAAGATCCAAAGTTGAAGAAGGATTTGGCGGGTTGTCAAGACGCCTATAAGTCCATTGTAAGGAATTACGATAGTGCTCTCTCGGAACTCAAGAGCGATCCAGAGATTGCGAGATACGACGTCCTGCTTTGTTTCGACAGCACAAAGAAGGTGAAGGGTTTGGTTGGGAAGAATACAGACAAGGCTTCCAAGACTGTCATAGCGATGACAATGATGATGGAGAAACTTAGTGATATTAGCATTGGAGCCATCTATACTCTTGAAAAGTAATGAGGACGATCAAAAGGTTTACTCTGATTAAAGGTTGTGGTTATTTGATTTTAGTGAATTAATGAAATGTTTTGTTTTATCTTTAACAAATTAAGAAAAGAAATGTTTTTTTTTATAAGGTGATCAATAAATTTCTTCTTTGAATGGAACATATGAATGTGTTAAACAATATTTTTAATATATATGGTCTAATTACAAAATGGATTATACTAAATCATACATACTCTCATTATTCAAAATAAGATATTCTTCCAAGTAGGTATGAAAAGCAAACTCTCTATCCTATCTTCTTAGAAACCGAGTTCATCAACCAAGTAGAGACTATATCATTGCATCTAGACCAAGCTCCATGATCTCTATGATTCTCATACTAATTGTCAATCAAGAATCAAGATTATCTTTAACCGAGAATCAAGAATCGGTTTTATCTTTAACCGAGAATCAAGAATCAAACCAGTGTGATAATTTTTATTCAAATAATATGGATTCTCATACTAATTAGTCTGAAATCTTGATGTATCAGTAGATTCAGCTGGTGGATGCGCATAAATTTTTATATTCTCATATATCAAATTGAGAAAGAATTAAGAAGATTAAGTATGATGAAACTAGGCAGAGAAAATAAGAAAACCAATCACACGAAGGTCACAATCAAAAGAAACAAAGACTTACGTCGAAACAAAGCTTAGGGTATTTGAGGAGTTCCAAAGTTATAATTGGAGTGATTATATGGAGACCAAAGTACACCACCTGCAATTTCAAAGGATTAATTAGACAAAGATTCCGGCGAATAGCTTAGAAATCGCAACAACAACTCTCAAAATCGAGAAACAAGAAGCAATCGAGCAACTCATCTTCGATAATACAACTGCTCTATTCAGCTACGATAATAATGGAGGAAGCATAAGACTTAATCAGAATGCTCTACTACAATATTAAATCCGATATATGGGAGAAATAGAATAAGAAAAGAGTAGAGAAGAGAAACTTTATTAATCTTGTAAAGAGTTTGTTACAAAAGCTACGTCTAAAGTAACTAATTAGACTTCCACCCAAAAAAAGTTGTAGTCTCTACGTGAATTTGTAGAGTTACCTCAAGAGCTGCCAATAGGGTTTGAATTTCCGACTCTAGCTTGGGATAGGAAAAAACTAAATAGAATAGCAACCAATGAGCTCTTTTTGATTGATAGAATATTACTTTATGACTTTGGTCAAATAATTTGGTTACACTCTTTAATTTTCGGATCACACAAATATATTTTATCTTCAGTTACAATTTTTTATTTTTAAAAGGAAATGAAAAGCTAATAATAATTAATAAGGTTGACCAAATATTTTGTATTATACATTGAAAATCTGAAAGAAAAAAAAAAAAGGAAAAAAAGTAAGTGCAACATTGACCAATTTTGAACCAGGTAAGATTAAGTATATGATTTTCATACAAAGTATTAAAACACACAACTAATAAACAGTAAATAATAAGATTGACCAGAGACTGTTGTAATTAGTTTGTATACAAAGAATCTGGAAATAAATTAAATACATTGACCAAATTTGAAACATATGGTAAGTAGTATATATATATATACCACAACCACAGGTGATGATGAATAATACAATACCAAATATCAAAAGTATTCTAAAGACATTTTAATGGCTTCTTCTTCCTACTGCTTTAGCGTCCTGTCTCTGGTTGTTCTGTTACCATTTCTCTTACACTCTGCTTCGGCCACAAGTTACATTGATGCCATATGCCAAAAATTCAGAGGGGACAAAGCCTTCTGCGTCAAAACCTTGAGTGCATACCCTCCTGCTGCCTCAGCCACCAGCCCGGTACTAATTAATAGTTTTATCTTACAAAACCAAAATATCACTTGCTTGTTACTTAGCAAATGTTTTGTTTCTTGGTATGTAGTTATGAAAACAAATATTACGTTACATGTCTCATACTCAAATCATGTCTCACACATCATTTATTTATTATTTCGATATGTAGCTCCAAGCGGCTGTGGCCACGCTTAACCTAGGATCGTCTTATGCCAGTAAGACTGCGGATTTTACGGGTAAAGCGGCAAAGGCGGATCCGAAGTTGATGAAGGATTTGGCGGCTTGTCAAAACGAATTTGTGGTCATTCAAAGGTCTCTCAAGAGTGCTTCCTCGGAAGTCAAGGAAGATCCAGAGAGTGCAAACTATGACGTCATGCTTTGTTTCGACAGCACAACGTCGGTGAAGAATTTGGTCGGAAAGAATACAGACCAGGCTTCCAAGACTGTCATAACGATGACATTGATGATGGAGAAATTTATTGGTCTCGGCCTTGGAGCCACCGAAACTCTTGGAGGTTAAAGACGACGATCAGAAGGTTTACTCTGGTCAAAGGTTTTGGTTATTTGATTTTAAGGAATGAAAATGTTTTGGTTTATCTTTAACAAAAAGAAGAAAAGAAATGTTTTTTTTTTATATGATGATCTATAAATCTCTTCTTTGAATTGGAACATATGCATGAATGTGTTAAAAAATATTTTAATATATGGTCTAATTACAAAATGGATTATACTAAATTATACGTACTCTCATTATTCAAAATAAGATATTCTAAAGTAAGACGTGGAGATTAAAAATTCATTTTTTGTAGCATTAAAGAATAATGATATATTTTATTTAATATCAAATCTGAGTACTATATTGATCAAGCATATTTAATATGAAAACATTAATTTGTTGAACAAGATACCTTTTGCATATAATCAAAAAGTTAATTTGGTAAAATAGAAAGTAGAAAGATTGAGACCCAACCAACCAAATTCTACCAATTTTGTTTTCGATTAAGCAGAGTACATACATATATACATGTATGGCCTTCAATGTACAAATTGTGACTAGAGACAACAACGGTAGAGCTAGGTTACATGTCAATTGTGACAATGGCTTCTTCTTCCTCGGTTTGTTTCTTTCTTGTTTCCATGGTGCTTCTTTCACAAATCCTCTTAATCTCTTCTTCAGCCTTGACCTCTACAAATTACATTGATGCGATATGCCAACATGTTGAAAATGGTACCTTTTGTATGCAAATGTTAAGCGCCTATCCTCCTGCGGTTTCTGCAAACGACTTGGTACTAAACTACTAATCTTTTAGCCACATATCTTATTAAACTCCTCATTTGTTTTTTTGAGTTGTTTCCTTTTCAAAATTACCATAGAAAAATCGAAAAAGTGCGAGGAAACTTGTAACACTAGAAATTTTTCTCTTCTAATTAATCTGATACCACACCAAACATTTACATGCCAACGTCTCAATTGAAATCTTAATCGTATGATTTGATTTATCATTATAAAAAGAAGAAGTTCTAAAGGAACTATATTTCTTTTTTGTTTTTTTTTGGTTATAAAGGTGTATTGAAAATCAAGATTTTGGAGGAAAAAGTTTTGCGACCATAAACATTATTTTTAGTTTGCAATTATCTTTATAAATCATTTGCAGTTCTTTAACATGAATTTGTATAAAACTCTTTAGTAAACCATAATCAATGATTGTATTGTCTTATCTATAGTTTTCACTGGCTACCATCGTGATCAACCTCGGCATATCCTATGCCAACAATACGGGAGGTTTTGCCGCGGATACCGCAAAGAAAGAGCCTACATTGAAAGAGCAGTTCAAGTCATGCCAGGATGAATTTGACGGTATTCAATTGTATCTAAGAATGGCAAGGGGGGAGCTTAAGGAGTCTCCAACAAGTGCAAACTATGATATCTTTCTTTGTACGGACATCACAATGCATGTGAAGGATTTGGTCGGGGGAAAGAGAGACAACGCTTCGAAGACGTTCTTGGAGATGACATTGCAAATGGAGAGGCTTATCGATGTCGCCATTGGAGCCACCGTAGCTCTTGGCGGGTGAATAGGATACATAGAGTCAGAAATATGTGTTAATTAAGCTGGCTCATGTTTTTGATTTGTTGTTTGCATGTCCTCAAAGATTGTACTGATTTTCATTATCTGCAATAAAAAAATCTAATATCTTTTTGTTTTTATGAATATTTATATATGCTGAAAGATATTACTTTTAGTGTCCAAAACTATAATAAAACTTATAACATCCAGAACATTAATTTTACATAGATCAAATTGTTTTATTTTCATAATTTTAATAAAAATTAAAACAAAAATCTATATAAATTAACAAAATTATTTTATAGTAATATACATTAATAAATATTAAAATCTTGGTCCCAAATTTTTTAATTTATAGAGATTTTACTATACTAATTACTAAGATAAAAAGTAGGAAAATTTTAATTATAATCCAATAAACTAGTCAGATTTTTGCATACAATCATAATAAAGGGAAATAAATCCTTGTCAGAATTTTTTTTTTTTACTAAAGATTGCAATATAATCAAGACTTCCAATATTATTTTCCAATACAATCATAACTAAGTATAAATAAATGTGTATATATACTTGAGATGTATAAACTAACAACCACAACATCAGAAACATAAATCCAAAATTACAGTAGAAGGTTGAGAGAAATAAAACATTTTCGGACAAAAGAAAGAAATGGCTTCTTCCTCTCATTGTTTCTTCGTAGTTTCAGTGGCACTTCTGTTACAGTTTCTTGTATCTCCTGCTTCGGCCTTAACCTTAACTTCGACACAATACATCGACAAATTATGTCAGATGTCATTTATTAACGACAAACCCTTCTGCTTGCAAACGTTGAGTGCCTATCCTGCGGCGGCTTCGGCCACAGACTTGGTAAATATCTAACTTATTTTGAATAGCAAATTCTAATCAAACCATTAGAAAAAAAAAAGACCATATCAATACATATAGTTTTATCAAGTGAAACTATGTTTTATGACTCATTCATAATGCAATTTTTTTTATACAAATAATACATCATAGTTTCAAACATGTATCTTTTTAATCTACAGCTCCCACTAGCAACAGCAGTGATCAGCGGCATTGTCCTACCACAAGCCCAAAAGTCGGCGAGTTTTGCAGAAGGAGTATCAAAAAAGGAGCCGAGTTTCAAGGCGTGCCAAGATGCCTTTGTAAACATTGGAAAATCTCTCCAGAGTGCTGTTGGAGAACTCAAGGCATCTCTAGAAACCGCAAACTATGATGTTATGGTTTGTACCGACCAAACTACCAAAGTGGCGGATCTGATCGGGAAAAACCAAGACGCGGATTCCAAGACTCTCATGGGGATGACAATGCAAATGAACAAGCTCATTCGTCTCGGTGTTGCAGCTACACAAGTTCTTGGCGGGTGAAAACGAAGATGAGAACATATATATATATATATACCTTAGACCACCTCCAATGGGTGTATGTTAATAAAGTTTGTGAGTAATTTTTTAGTTATAAATTGTGTACTTTTTAAAAATAAAAAGTTTTTAAAGATAATTAAAATTATTCATCTCCAATGGTAACTCTTAATAGAAGTTCTTAAAAATATTTTGAAAACTTAAATTTTATAAAACATGAAAATTATTACAAACACATGATATTAAAACATAATAAAAAAAATATTTAAAAACTTCATTTGGTAAATTAATAGAACTGACTTCTCTTGTAGTGACACATGTAATTAACAAATTGTCTAAAAACTTCTTCTATAAGAGATATCTCTTAGTTTATTATTGATTAATGATTTAATTTTTTCCCTTTTATTTCTAAGATACTAGTTATGAGACCTGCATTGGACATTCTCTTAGTACCTTACTATTGGCCTTGTCTTAATATATTATTCACAACTATTTTAATGTTTAATAAATATATATATAAAAGGTTGAAACTATTTCAATATATAATATAATTTCAAAAAGTTCATCGGAGTTCCACCACGATATCGCACACCTTGATCCAATATAGCAATTGGAAAAGAGGATGCACAAGATGTATCAAAAATGAAAATCAAACGAAAAACAAGATTTTAAGGGTAATTGTTTTTGTGAAAAGAGAGTACCGTGCGTACGTAGGACCATAGTCACTTTTTGTTAGTTGTACGTTGATCTCTAGAAAAAATTATACTTATCTTGTTTTAATTGTGTGAAAATTTTATGGAGTATGTGAGTATGTGACTATCAAGATTGTTAGTCATGGAGATTGCCATAAATGAATCTTGTGAGTCGACACATCATGTTTGCATTATTCATCTCTTTGTAGAACGATTAGTTTAAATCTGATTTCGAAAAGCAAAACAAGTAAAACCTAATGTTACATGTACGTACATGCCAAACACACAAAAATGCCATTACGACATGTCAAAACAACAACTGATCCTAATCTTATTATATTTTCGTTATCATTTTCATCGATGTTAAAAAAAAACAAATTCAGGCGGTAGCTAGACGTTTGATAGGAACCTAGCGCCTAAACTAATCGGAACCTTCTGCCTAGGCGTTTAGTTAATTATTTACATATATTTATGATATTTTCAAAATTTTGCAAAATCAAATCTTAAAATATGGATTACGTACTATCCAAAATATTAAAATATATAATTATATGTATATATATTTACACATGGTTTATATGAGAAGAATAATAGTTTAATCTCAATAAATAAATAAACTAGGACTAATTAAAATCATAATTTCACTTTTAATATTTAAGCATCTTTTATTTTATTTTACTTATATTTTTTCTTAGTTTTTCACTTATTCAAAACGATGCCATCATTTTTAAAAATTTCTTAGTCTTATGTTTTTATACAAGTAAATAAACATAGTCAACAAAGTGTATACTAAGATGAAAAATAAGGAAAGTATAATAATTTCAACAAACCAGTCCCATTTTTGCATGCTATGCAATTAAAAGAAAATAAAATTCTGGTCAGACTCTCACTTTAAAAATAAAAAATAAAGATGGCAACAAAATCATAAGTGAATATAAGTATATATACTTCAAAGCTATAAACCATAATTTGATGTCAAAAAAGAAAAATAGAAAAAAAAAGATGGCTTATTCCTCTCATTGTTTCTTGGTCGTTTCAGTGGCACTTCTGTTACAATTCCTCACAGCCCCTGCGTCAGATACGCCATATCAATCCTCACCATACATCGAGAAATTATGTGGCACTATGTCATCTATGGGCGACCAAGACGATTGCTTGCTAACGTTGACTGAGTATCAAGGTGCGGTACATGCCGGAGACTCGGTAATAATGTCTAATCCATATATATATATATATCCAATCAAGTTAGTTTTTAAAAATCAATTATATAAATAATTAATTACTAACATGTACATTGTAGTTCAAACATTTCTATCTTTTTTTCTTTTCTCTTTTTTTGGTATATTATTTCAAATATTTTATCTTTTAATTTACAGGTTACACTTGCAGAATTCGTGATCACCGACCTTATCGTTCCCCATGTCCGGAGAGCAGTACGTTATGCACTACTTCTCACATCAAAAAAAGAGCCGACGAGTTTAAAGGCACAGTTCGTGAAGTCCCATCTAATCCTTAGAAATATTGGAGACACTCTCGGTAGCGCCTTTTTTGTACTCAGAGTCTTCCCGCGTGTCGCAAACCATGAAGTTTTGACTTGTCTGGACCAAATTAACAAAGTAATGTATATGATCGGGAAAAACCAAGACGTTGCTTCGAAGAATCTCATTGAGATGACAATGAAGATGAAGAAGCTCCTTCCTCTCGGTGTTGCAGCCACCCAAGTGCTTGCTGGGTGAAGACGAAGTGAGAACATAATGCCATTCGGGATTGTCGTAATTATATGATTGAAAACTATATATTTTAATATATACTTTACTTTATAATATAATTGCATGCTTAAGGTTGAAACTTTTTTTAATATATGATATAATTTTCAAAAGTTCGTATTTGCAAATGAAATATATATATTAAGACAATCCTCAGCTTAATTATATATTATTATTATTATTATTAACTGAGGCGTTCTCTAATCTCTACCAAAAAGAGATCTCTCGGATTAAAAAATAATGAGTTAATTAAGCTGATTCATGCCATTGCTAATTTATTAAACATGATTTAAAAGAAAACAGATGATCGAACCTATATATAAATCATAAATAGTTCTTTGGGTTTTTTCTTGTGTTTAAGAAAACTGTTGAAATCTTATTTTTATTGAGTGAGACATAGTCTTATGTGTAAATAATATATTGTCTAAGTACCATTATGTAATTTATATTAGTACTTAGCTTTATTCACATATGAAAGTAATGAAACCTTTATATCAAATTTGGTTTCATAGTATCAGAGCAAAACCTAAGATTTTAGGCATACAATCATTAGCTCTCTTATTTTTTTTTTGGATAAATTAGGTCTCTTATTTTTAAATTTATGTTTTTTACTTCTCTCTTTCATTGACCTCAGTATCTCGATCTGTTCTTATCGTTATATACTCTTTTCTTCTCTCTATGATTTTTGAACATACGAGTACGAACGACGCTTCTTCTGTTCTCAAAAGAGGTCGTTCTCGGCCTGAATCAACGATGAGGCGTATTGATCCATATGACCTTTTTCCGGGATAACCCGGAGTGAGACATAGTCTTATGTATAAATAGTATATTGTCTAAGTACCATTATGGAATTTATATTAGTACTTAGGTTTGTTCAAATATATATATAGACTATGTCGTTGATTGAATAAAGTAAGAAAACCTTTATACCAAATTAGGTTTCTTGACTGTTTATTTATTTGTAATATTGAACATCTTTCAAAGTGATTTATTTCGGATACACCATCGAGATTTTTGATTTCAATTCTAGAGCAGGAAACATACCTCCAATAAAACTCTTGTACGTACTAGCACTCATTTTTCTGCTCTCTGTTCTCTAGAGAAATTGAACTCCTGGCTAAAAGGAATCGACCCTTTCGTAGAACCACTAGGTCACCACCCCTTCAGTAACTTTTTTAATATCTTTAATAAATGATACTATAGATTATTGAGTTACCAAAAGATTTTCTGACCAAAAAAAAGAAAATACAAGTTAATAAATCTAGTCAACAAAGAGTATACTAAAATGAAAAATTAGGAAATCATAATAATCTCAACGAACCAATCAGATTTTTGCATAGAACGAAACTGAAGGAAAATAAAATTCTGGTCAGACATATATATTGATAAAGATGTAAAAAAGATCATAAGTGAAATAATTATATATACTTCAAAGCTATAACTTGTTGTCAAACAAAAAAAAAATGGCTTATTCCTCTCATTGTTTCTGGGTCGTGTCAGTGGCACTTCTGTTACAATTCCTCGCACCCCCTGCGTCAGCTTTGCCCTATAGATCCTCACGATACATCGACAAATTATGTCAGATGTCATCTATTTACGACAAAACCTTCTGCTTGCACACCTTGACTGGCTATCACGCTGCGGTGTATGCCGGAGACTCGGTAATAATATCTAATCCATATATCCAATCCACAAAATGTTGTGTGACTCATTCATAATGCAAAGTGTTTCGAAGTAACATTTACATCGTAGTTTCAAACATTTATCTTTTTAATCTACAGGTTACACTTGCAGAATTCGTGGTCACCGATCTTCTGGTACCCCAACTCCGGAGGGCAGTACGTTATGCACTACTACTCACATCAAGAAAGGAGCCGCCAAGTTTAAAGGCACAGTTCGTTAGGAGCCATCTATACCTTAGAAATATTGGATACGGTCTAGGAAGAGCCTTTTTTGAACTAAGGGTATCCCCGCGTATGGCAAACCATGATGTTTTGATTTGTACCGACCTAATTACCAAAGTGATGTATATGCTCGGGAGAAACCAAGACGTTGCTTCGAAGACTCTCATTGAGATGATAATGAAATTGAAGAAGCTCTTTCCTCTTGGTATTGCAGCCACACAAGCTCTTGCCGAATGAAGACGAAGATGAGAACATATTACCATTGGGCATGTCTTAATTATATGATTGAAAACTATATATTTCAATATATACTTTATAATATAATTGCATGCTAAAGGTTGATAATATTTTAATATATTATATAATTTTTAAAAGTTAGTATACTTGCAAATGACATATATATATTATTAACTGAGGAGCGTCCGATCTCTCGATTTAAAAATAATGAGTGAAGCTGATTTATGCCATTGCTAATTTTCTAAACATTGATTTCTTCTGAGTATATGTTAAATTAGGGTTTGTTATGGGCTTCCAACTCAAAACTAATTGGCAATGAGTGGATTGGCCCTTACCCCTTATATATTACTCAAGTCCCATCACTTCTTCCAATGTGGGATCTTTAACGTGTGGATTGAAAGTTTGGAGTATGGAGTTCGCGCTTAATAAATCATTTAAGGAAATGACTTTAAATGATGAGAAACCGACTGTATTGAAGAATCTACCAAAGTTTAGTTCATGTAAAAGGAATGAGTTAAGTCTTATTAGACGTCTGTTATGTCCAGAGAATCAAAAGATGTCAAATGTTATACATGAGAAGCCTCGTATTTGAAAAGTGTATAACAACACCAGAGGAATTGAGCTACCTAATGACCAGTTCCAATTCATCTTTGACTCCGAAACAGAGATGAAAACCATCCTTTTAATTCCATTTCGATATAATTAATGGTTCTCTGTTTTATGAGGAATTGAACTCGTGGCTCAAAAGAATCAAACCTTTCGTAGTTTGTATTACCATCATGCCACCACCCGTTTAGTAATTGTTTTATTTTTTTTTTAGTTGATATTTTTTGTTTATCTTATATTGAAATATGTTTGGTTTTTGGTTTTAGAATAATAAGTATATTGATATATATTTATGGAGTTCCCAAACAAATTATTGACCAGAAAAAAAATCACAAGTTAATAAATCTAGTCAACAAAGACTAAAACGAAAAATTAGGAAAGTATAACCATCTCAATAAACCAGTCAAATTTTTGCATACAATGAAAATGATAGAAAAATAAATTCTGGTCAGACACTTTTTTATTTTTTTAATAATAAGGATGGCAACAAAATCATTAGTAAATATGTATATATATACGTCAAAGCTTTAAACAATAACTACAACATCAAAAAGTGAAACCAAAAGTTAAATTACCAAAACCGAAATGGCTTATTCCTCACATTGTTTCTTCTTTGTTTCAGTGGCACTTTTGTTACAATTTCTCATAGCCCCTGCCTCGGCTTTGCCCTTACAATCGACACAATACATCGACGATTTATGTAAGATGCCATCTATCGACGACAAAACCTTTTGCTTGCAAACGTTGACTGGCTATCAAGGTGCAATGTATGCCGGAAGCTCGGTAATAATATCTAATCCATGTTAGTTTTTAGTTTTATAATTTTATCAAATTTCATGTAAGAGTCTTTTCTTTGAACATTAAAAAAAAAAATTTTATCATTTATCATCTATGTTTTTCTTACAAAAATAAGTTTAAATGAAGTGCAACTATGCTTTGTGACTCTATTCATAAAGCAATTTTCTAAGAAAAAAACATATATCTTTTAATTCTATAGATTACACTAGCACAAATCGTGATCAGCGGCCTGCTCGTACCTCACGTCCAGAAGACAATGCGTTTTGCACTACTCACTTCAGCAAAGGAGCCGCCGAGTATAAAGACACAGTTCATGACTTCCCGGGAATACCTTAGAACTGTTGGATACTCTCTCGCGAAAGCCTTTGATCAACTAGCTGTCTCCCCACGTAGCTCAACCCAAGATGTTATGAGTTGTACCGACCAAATTACCAAAGTGTTGAATTTGATCGGGAAAAACCAAGACGTTGCTTCGAAGACTCTCATTGAGATGACAATGCGAATGAAGAAGCTACTTCCTCTCGGTGTTGCAGCCGCACAAGCTGTTGCCGGGTGAAGAAGAAGATTTTAACATTTACTATTGGGGCTTGTCTTAATTTATTTCATTGAAAAAGGTTGAAAATTATATTAATATATGAATTTCCAAAAGTTCGTATTTTACAAATGACATACATTATTACTAAGTGAGAAGTGCCTCTACCAAAAAGAGATCTTTATCTTTTTGAGATATGACATAGACACTCCCAAACCATGGCTGCAAATAAGCATTGAGGCTAGATGCAATCTAACCAAAAAACTTAATGTTTATTTTTTTAATCATTCTAGGGATGTTTTTCTCCCTTGTATTAATCGAATGGCAGCTGAACTGCATTGCATCCTTTGGTGTCTTCAAGGCCTGCATCACCGGGTTGAGTGTTGTGAAGTATGGTCAGATTGTGTGGCAGCGTTGACAGCGATTCAAGCTCCTCTTGAATGGCCGAAATATCGATTTATTTTGGATAAGATATCTCAAGCAATACGGGTGATGAGGATTGTGTCTTTCCATGCCTCTTTGCCAAAAGCCAACTCTTTGGCTAGAGAGATTGCTTGTAGTGTTACCAATGAGGATCGTCTTACTTCTTATCTTGCGCTTGAAGGTCCGTCTTGGCTTCACGATCGTATTGAGCCGGAGCGCTTCAGGAGTAGTTAATTGTTTTCCTTTCCTTTGATTTTTGGCTTGTCTTTCTTTGATGCTTTGGTTTCGTTTGAATTGTATTATCTTATCTTCATCATTATAATAAAATCCAGCGTTAAAAAAAAACCCTAATTTTGTTATATTTTCAGCCAATAAAAAACCTCCACATGTCACCACCTCTTTAGTATTTTTATTTTATTTTTAATAAATGATAGAGATTATGGAGTTACCAAAAGAATTATTGACAAAAAAAATTACAAGTTTTAATAAATCTAGTCAACAAAGAGTATACTGAATACAACACAATTAAGAAAGTATAATAATCTCAACAAACCAATCAGATTTTTGCATACAATGTAAATGAAAGAAAACAAAATTCTGGTCAGCCATATATATATTTGATAAAGATGGCAACGAAATCATAAGTGAATACATGAATACGAGTGTATATATACTTCAAAGCTATAAACCATAACTTGATGTCAAAAAAGAAAAAAAAATGACTTATTCCTCTCATTGTTTCTTGGTCGTTTCAGTGGCCCTTCCGTTACAATTCCTCGCATCAGCTTTGCACTATAAATCCTCACGATACATCGACAAATTATGTCGGATGTCATCTTTTTACGACAAAACCTTCTGCTTGCAAACGTTGACTGGCTATCAAACTGCGATACATGTCCGAGACTCGGTAATAATATCTAATCCATATATCCAATCAACTTAGTTTTTTAGTCAATTATATAAAATTTTACATATATATATATTATCAAACGTTTACATGTGAAAGTTTTTCTTTGCATTTCCGAAACTATTTTTTTTATTATCATTTTTTTTTCTTACAAAAAATGTTTTATGACTAATTCATAATGCAAAGTTTGTCGAAGTAACATGTACATCCTAGTATATACTATATGATATTAGTGCATGCTAAAGGTTGAAGAGCATTTTACTATCTGATAGTATAGTTTTTGCAAATGACATATATGAGGAGCGCTTCTACTAAAAAGAGATCTCTCGGATTATAGTCACTTTATAATTATATGTATATTGTCAAACCGCAGGGGTTTTATAACTGGTTTTTATTTATTCCGATATAATTAATAGCTCTCCGTCGTCTAGAGGAATTAAACTCCGGACTTAAGAAGAACCAAGTCTTTCATATATAGTTCATAGTACCACTAAGCCACCAACCCTTTAGTGTAATTGTTTTGATATTTTTTGTTTACGTTATGCTAAAATATGTTTGGTGTTTGGTTTTAGAATAATAAGTATTTTGTCCACAAAAAAAAAGAAAGAATCTTAAGTATAAGGATAAACAGTATATATAGATTATGCAGTTACCAAAAGAATTCTTGAACAAATAAAAATTTACAAGTTAATAAATCTATTCAACAGAGAATAAAACGAAAAATTAGGAAGGTATAATAATCTCAATAAACCAGTCAACTCTTTGCATACGAAAACAAAATTCTGGTCAGACTTTTCTTTTTTTGGACGAGGATGGCCACAAAATAATAAGGAAATGTATGTATATATGAATCAAAGCTTTAAACAATAACCACAACATCAAAAAGTGAAACCAAAAGTTGAATTTTTACAGTAGAGGGTTGAGAGAAATAAAACGTCCTCGGACAGATTAAGCAAAAGAGAAATGGCTTATTCCTCACGTTGTTTCTTCTTCGTTTCAGTAGCACTTTTATTACAATTTCTCATAGCCCCTGCCTCGTCCTTGCCCTTAAAATCGACACAATACATCGACGATTTATGTAAGATGCCATCTATCGACGACAAACCATTTTGCTTGCAAACGTTGACTAGCTATCAACGTGCCATGTATGCCGGAAGCTCGGTAATAATATATAATCCATGTTAGTTTTTATGTGAGAGTCTTTTCTTTATTTTTATTTTCATACAAAAAATTTTAATTATCATTTTATCATCTATGTTTTTCTCACAAGAATAAGTTTAATGCAACTATTGTATATGCTTTTGTGACTCATTCAAAATGCAATTTTCTAAGAAAAAACATGTACATCGTAGTTTGTTTCAAACATTTTAACTTTTTAATCTACAGATTACACTTGCAGAAGTTGTGATTAGTGGCCTTCTCGTATCTCACGACCAGAAGACAATGCGTTTTGCACTAGTCACTTCAGCAAAGCAGCCGCCGAGTATAAAGACACAGTTCTTGACGTCCTGGAGTTACTTTAGAACTATTGGATTCTCTCTCGCGAAAGCATATGATGAACTCCCTGTCTCCCCACGTAGCGCAACTTATGATGCTATGAGTTGTACCAACCAAATTACCAAAGTGTTGAATTTGATCGGGAAAAACCAAGACGTTGCTTCGAAGACTCTCATTGAGATGACAATGCGAATGAAGAAGCTACTTCCTCTCGGTGTTGCAGCCGCACAAGCTGTTGCCGGGTGAAGACGAAGATTTTAACATTTACTATTGGACTTTTTAATTTATTTCATTGTCACATGTTGAAAATTATATTAATATATGATATAATTTCCAAAAGTTCGTATTTTGCAAATGACATACATGTTATTATTAGGTGAGAAGTGCCTCTACCAAAAAGAGATCTTTATATTTTTGAGAAATGACATAGACACTCCCAAACCATTCTATGACCTTGATTGGTTGCTGCTGTATCTTTAGATTTTTGTTTGTAGATTAGAGCTGTAGAATTTTTGGCTGTGACCGTAGATTTTATTGCTGTAGTGTTTTGGGTGTAGGAGTTAAGTTTTTGGAAAGCTGAAAAATATATGTTTTAGGAAAAATGACTTTGTACAGCTAAAAAAAATAATTAAGAAAATATTTTGGCTGTGAGTCAAAAAAGGAAATACAAAATTTATAAAGTTTAATTGCTGTGGATTTGTAACTTTGGACAAAATATGGCTGTAAAAGGACTCTAAAGCAGCAAATAATCAAGTTTCACTTGTTTTGGAACTATAATTAAATGATAAAATTTTGATAAGAGAAAAAAGGGGGCAAATATTTTATGGGTATAATAAGTTGCATCACACATATAATTGGTGTATCATATATTTTCAAGATTAATTAGCGAAAGATCATGATCCACTATATATATTAGTTTCTATGTAAAAGAATATAAATCCAGAATTTACAGGAGTAAGTAAATCGAAAATTAATAACATGTAATAAATTGTTTTAGTACATTACCAATTGTGAAACAGATGAATAATGCTATAATGATAGGGTATATCTTATATGCGTTCAAGATATATAAATAACCATAACCATAACCATAACACGATTCTCGAACAAAGACAATAGTTGAAAGAAAAAATTGCATACTGATTAGTGATGGCTTCCTCTTCCTATTGTTTTGTCTTCGTTTCTGTGGCACTTCTGTTACAACTTATCTTAGGCTCTGCTTCAGCCTTAACCTCCACAAAACTCATCGACGACATATGCCAACATGTCAACAACAAAACCTTCTGCGTTGAAACCTTGAGCGCTTATCCTCCGGCGGTTTCTGCCACCGGCAAGGTATTGATATTGAATTACATATCGATCTATATTTTTAAATATCATTAGATTATTACTTTCACGATTACATTTTTCTTAATATCGATATAAATTACACCAAAACGTTTATAGACAAAAAAAAAACATTTCTACTATATATATTTTTCTAAGTTAGAAAAAAAACTAATTTGCATCTTTGTCATGTATAATAAGCCGAAACTTATTATTTTGTGATTACAATTATGTTCATTTCTCTTCAATTATAGACATTTTTTTTTTTTCTTAATGTGTAGTTCCAACTAGCTAAGGCCGTTCTCCGCCTTGGCAAATCCTATGCCCTAAAATCGGCTAGTTTCATTGAAAAAGCGTCAAAAGATAGACCGAACATGAAGAAGCAGTTCAAGGCTTGTCAAGATGCCTACGTGAACGTTGTAATGTCTCTCAAGATCGCTGCCTCGGAACTCAAGGAATCGCCGGAAAGTGCAAACTATGACGTCATGGTTTGTACCGACAGTACGACGATAGTGAAGGATTTGGTCGGGAAAAATAGAGATGTGGCAGCCAAGAAAGTCATGACGATGACACTGAAGATGGAGAATCTCCTTGCCATTGCCGTTGGAGCCACCGTAGCTGTTGGTGGGTGATGACGACGATGAAAACACGTACCGTCGTTAGATTTTCCATATTTGGTTTTACTTTTGTCAAAGATTTTTTTCAATTGGTTAAAGATTTTATCAAATATTTGTGGTAATTTAATTTAGGGATGCAATATTTTTTTATTAACACGATCTATATATTTCCTTTTTCGTTTCAAAGGAAACATATGGATAATGGAAATGTTAAAAACTATTTCAATCTATGTCTAATTGCAGAAGAAAATAGTATGTCATCGTTATTCAGATTTTCTTTAATTATTTGTTACCTTATTTGAAAAGAAAATTAAGGAGCTAGATATAAGTATCTCTATTCCTAAAATAACAAGAATTTGTCAACCTATTTATAAAAGCAATTGCAACCCATTAATTTAACATCCATATACTCATGAGCAAAATAATATCTACCAATCAATTTGTTTGGCCCAAATAAAACTTTATTAATTTATGAACGAAAACAAGTTTTACCCTGCTTAAATTTAATTTAGATGTGCATATATTGTTGGGACATAAGTTTTTGGTTTGCGTGATAACTTTATTTCCATATATAAATTAGTTAAGCCTCCAAAGAGTGACCACATTCGGAAAAATACTATAGAGTATATTGGTGTTATCTGTCGCTCCTCAAGGTGGCAAACCAAGGAGAACAAGAAGAGTCCAAGGCCAATGAGCCTGAGGGAATCAATTTAGTGGTTGATGACGTCTACAATTTTGAAGACGACCCTGTGGTCGGTCGGTTCAATAGGTTTGGCACGGAGATGTCAGCCATGGTCTCCGCCTTGACACAGGTTGTTTCTGGTCGCTCTCAGACTGAAACTGAAGGGGCACACTCTTCATCCTCGTCGGCTGGACATAGGAGAGGATGGCTTGGAATCGATTCTGCTCCTATTCTCTCATCATTCGCTCCACTAGAATCTTCACTTGGTCCGATCGGTGAGTCTATATGTTACATTTCATGAACCGTTCCATAGCGCTTTTATTTTGTTGCCTTTGTTATTTGCATATTGACTCTAACATCTCAAGTACAAATGTTTTTGGTTAGACGTTTGTCACGTAAAACGTAAAAGTTATGTCTGTTCTGTATAGAAGAACCCACAAGTAAGGCAGTACCAGAGGAAGCAAGGGAGAAAAGAAGGAGATACAGGGGAGTAAGGCAGAGACCATGGGGAAAATGGGCAGCTGAGATACGCGATCCACATAAAGCCGCTAGGGTGTGGCTTGGGACGTTTGATACAGCTGAGGCCGCCGCAAGAGCCTACGACGAGGCTGCACTTAGGTTCCGTGGAAATAAAGCAAAGCTTAATTTCCCGGAGGATGTAAGGCTTCTTCCTCATCCTCCTCCTCCTCCTCCTCCTCCTCTTCTCTTCCCCGCTGACACGGTGGCGAAGAAAGCAGAAGAGGATCTTATAAATTATTGGAGTTACTCAAAGTTGTTGCAAAGTTCAGGCCAAGAGTCTTTTTTTGGGCAAGGACAAGAAGAGAGTAGCAACACATTAGAACATTCACCAATGGAACAACCTCTGCGTCCTTCAAGTTCTGGTCCAAGTTCCTCTGATTTTTCTGGACCTTCCTCTGCCTAATACATTTTTGTTTTTCAGTTTTAATAAAGATTATCTGTAACGACGACGTAAGAAAAAACATTTGAATCCATGCTAAAAGAAAAAGGATTTTTCTTGTCTGTATACATTGTTAAGTGCTAAAAAATATAAACTTTACTCTGTTATTTCCTTAACTAATCTCTATTAGCTGTCTTTGATTCATCGTAGATAAATGTTTATTATATATATCATAATACTCAAAATATATCCTTTACACGTGCAGTATCGAAACAAGTGTGTATTGTGGTCCGAATAGTATAATTTGTAGGAAAGAAAGATAAAACAACTTGAAAAACAAACAGAGTTAGGCAAGTGACAAAAGTTAGGCAAAATGCAGCATATGAGTAAGCAATAGATTAGCTTCATGTCACGTACATGATACATTTATAGCTATATTGACAAAATTCCTTTCCATGATTCATCATCTCTTGGACCATAATTAATTTTTAACTTCTTTTTTGAAAATTTAAATTATGATTCATATGCATGTACTCAAAGAGAAAACGTTAGGTGTCGAGACGACGTAACTCAACTTATGCACACTTTAGACCATGTACATTGGTGTATGTACATGGAGTCCTACCCAATAAAATTTTTAAATTTAAATCATAAATTAGAAAAAAGATGAAGAAACGTACCGAGAAATGCGACGTCCCCTGTTCTCTTATTTCACTATCTACGGGCCCTACTGACACGTGGCGGCCCGCAATTGGTTACTTTTTGTTTTTTTTTTTTGCTTTTTTATAAAAAAGAAAACCATGGGACGAAAAAAAGTATAACCGATGCATATGGCCTTAGTTTCAGTTTTCAAATCAATACGTACTAAAATATATGAGAGTATTTATTTAATTATTTTATGCTTAAATACATAAATCAATACCTTTTGCATGCAAATCCTCATCCCGACTTTTTGCGACAAAATCCTCTTCCAATATTTTAGTTACTTTTACTATATTCAGGGACTGAGACCATATACATTGGTGGGACTTGTGTTTGGTCCCAAATTTTTTTTTCTTTTTTTTTCTTTACAATTTTTTTTTTAAATAATAAAAAATAACCAATCGCGGACTGTCATGTGTTAGTGAGGCCCACGAAAAGTGGACAACAACACACGAGACCGTCCCGATTATGAGTACGCCCCTTTCTTTTTTTTTGATTTTTGATTTTTTTATTTATTCTAAATTAGGTAGGATTTGTGTGTGGGTAAAAGATATACATATTAGGTTTCAAGCCTACTTATACTTTCGAAACCATATTGTGCACTAGTTGTAATCAAAATCGATTAACAAGAAAAGAAAGAAGAGTGGTAATGCCATCTTTAAACACTTTCCCAATCCCATTCGGGGGAAACGAACAAGAAAAGGAAGAAGTGACAAAAACACACTCTAGCTCATAGAAAATGGAAAAGTAAAGGTTACATAGGGACATATACATTGAACATGTGTCGCCGTCCTAGGAGACTGTTGAGAACGGTTTGGGTCCCTTACCTGCTTTGACGTGCCGTTATTCTCTTCTCTTTGTTAGCATAGCAATGATCAATCACATTAGCATGTAAGACCATCTCCATTAGAGATGCTTAATGCAATGCTTAACACATTGCTTATATTAATTGTATTATATTTAATGTAAAATGAACCACAAAACATAAGCTTTGTAGCTTAAATTAGCTTTATAAGCAAAAGCTAAGGGCCGCTGACGTGTCAAAATATTAGTGGGTGAGTGGAAAAATAGAAACAAAAAAAACATTTTCCTCATAATTTGGCACAAATCAATATTACAACTAGTCGCTTATTTCGTTTTTAATTTATATGATTTCATATATACTTTTATATCATGATCTAAATATTTTATAGTATGCAATAACTTGTTTTCTTTTATAAATTATAATAAATGTTTCTATTTGTTTCTATCCATTTTCAAAAATACCCATTTTCAAATATGAAAAATTACAAACTTTTATATAGTTGATAAGGTACATCAAGATCATCATTACTACTGGGAAACTAAATCCAAATATTTATAAGGTTTTAAAAGGTTCTAAACGGCATTTATAAGGTTTTTATAAGGTTTTTAAAAGGTTTACAAAGTTTTTATAAGGTTTTTAAATGATTTTTAAAAGGTTTTTAAAAGGTATTTATACGGTATTTATGAGATATATGTATAAATTTACACACATATAAAGATAGTTTGTGTCTATAAATATAAGCTTTCGCATATTTTTTTTTGATAAATTTCAAATTTTATAGTGACTTTTTGATAAAATTAGAAAAAGGGGTATTTTTACAAAGTGGTATTGGAAAAGGGGTATTTTTGAAATTCTCCCAATTAAATTAATTTTTTGTTTTTAAGCACTTCATTAAGAGTTATACCATTGGAACACCAAATTTTTCAACATCAAGATAAAGTTGCTTATAAATTTATTTTTAAAAATTTAATGCAAAAAAATATGTAAGCACCTTCCAATGGTTAGCACCATTGGAGATGCTCTAAACTTTATGAAAATACTCAAAAGTATATTGCATATATTGTTTTTGAGAATATAGAAAATTAAAGGTAACATATTTCACATATGATAAGTGAGTGTTAATTTGAGTGAAGTTTACGATAGATATACAATGTTTTAAGAGTTAATATAGCATCCATATAACTAATACATAACGGTTATGAATATTTGTATTGCCAGCAAATGCAATGGCATTTGATAATAAAATTAACAAACTATATAATTTATATGAAAATATGAATGAAAATCTTAATAATAATCTGATATGTTTTTGTTATAATCTTTTATTGTCGAAACTAAATTTATTTTCCTGTAATTTTTTGTCAAAAACTATAACTTTTGCTCATTTCAATTAGATCTTTCATATATCGAAGTATATATAACACAATGATCAGATGTAATTTCATAATTCTCTCGCATTAATAATTATACAAACTTAGGATTTGTTCTTCTTGTGTATACTGGATGAAATTCATATGTATCAAATAATTAATAAATTTTATCAAAAATAAATTAATAATAAATAATGAACATACTCAATCTTATAATATTGAAATTTAATTCCTGACTGCAATATTTTAAAAATTATTTAACAGCTAAAATTAACCAACGATATAATTAGGACAGCTAACACTTGTTCATACATCATAACTTATAACTTTAGAAACAAATAGAGATTTGTTGTTTCAAAAAAGAAAACAAAATAGAGATTTGTAGGGCATAGACGTAAATATGTTTATATATATATCATTGAAAACATAATATTGGAAGTGATTGTCGTAAACCGGAATACTCATTTGGCCTGCCGTGACAGTAATTATTTTGACTCCACCGTCAAAGACAAAGACCGCACTTATTCTCTCTCGTGGTCGAGTCAAAACACATTTATAAAGACTGTTACTACCTTTCACGCTCTTCTTGTGTTTTGCTTCGGTTACACATTCTTCTTCTATCCCTTAAATTCCTTCACTTCAAGATAAAAAGAACCATTTTTGCTTTCTTTAGCTACAAAACTAAACAAAACAAGAAAGAGATGGGAAACTGTCAAGCAGTGGATACAGCTAGAATCGTGATACAACACCCAAATGGGAAAGAAGAGAAGTTGAGTTGTCCAGTTTCAGCTAGTTATGTGATGAAGATGAACCCTGGCCACTGTGTTTCTCTTCTCATCTCTACCACATCTCTCTCCGCCACCTCTACTGGTCATGGTGGACCTCTTAGGCTCACGAGGATCAAGCTCCTTCGTCCAACGGATACGCTTGTTCTTGGCCATGTCTATAGACTCATCACCACCAAAGGTATAATAGATTAGGATAAGATGCCTAAGTTATAATAGATTAGGATAAGATGCCTAAGTTTACTCGAAATCTATATTAATCGTTTTATCCGACTTAATATCTAATCTCATATTCTAATGTAAATATTAATTATTTGATATAACTATGTAACCCTCATTTGTAACCCTAGGAAATGAACGACCTTATAGCTTTAGATTTTGCAGTTTATAGTATCTAAAAAATGTCTCAAATTGGTTTCATTAAATATTACATCAAACGAATATTTATGGCTTCTGATACACACACATAGCCAAATAAGTAAGATCGTTTGAATAATTTTTAGGATAATTTTTCGAATCCATTCTAGACTTTACCGCCTCACTGTTTGTTTCATTTTTTGGATTGGGGTCTAATCTACAAATTTTGAAACTTTGTTTTGGTGAAATTCAGAGGTTATGAAGGGTTTAATGGCAAGGAAATGTTCGAAGTTGAAGAAAGAAGGTAATGGATCAGAAGATAAGCTAGATATGGTGAAAGAAATAAGCTCTACTAATCTTGAAAATGAAGATAAGGTAAAGTGTGATTACTAAGATTAACATAATCAACCAAACTAACTTATTTTAGTAGTGAGAATTGGTTTTAATTGAGATTGAATATGTCTATAGCTACAAATGAAGAAGCAAGAGAAAGAAAGGTCAAGAATCTCAAGATCATGGCAGCCCTCTTTACAAAGCATATCGGAAGGAGGCTCAAGCTAAGCAAATTCTAAAACTATTGGAGCATTGAAGAGAAAGCTTCGGAACTTGAGGATCTAGTTTGTAAACATAGGAAAAGGCATGTGAGAGGCAAATGACAAAAGCTGGTCCGTTGGAATGTGTGATATTATAAAGTTACAAAAAATTTGAAAGCATTGATTCAGTTTGTTTGACTGAAGAAGACTCATGAGTTCTCTGAGTAAAATAATAATACACAGATATATTATCAAATGTTAAGGCGTTACATTTAGCTGAGCGTTACAAAATGTAACCCAAAAGCATCGAGCGTGCTTGAGCTGATCATTAGATAGTTGATCCTCTGTATATTAATTAAATCATCTACAATATATCAAAAGAGAAAGAATCAAAACGTATAACAAGAAAAAGATGATTTGAACGGCTGAAAAAGTTTGTCCATGGTCGAAGTGTATTTTAAATTATTTATCTTTGTTTTTAAGTTTTCTTTTTGGTTAATACGTAATTTTAAAATATTTTAATAGTTATCAAGTTTAGAATAGGTTTTAAATTATTTTCGACGATACAAAAATAAATTTTCTAGGAAATTTAATATATATATTTGGGGTTTAGGTTCTAATTAAAGATTTTTTGTCTATAAGCATGTTATATACTTTAGGTGAAATTAAGCAAAGAGAAATTCTTTTGGATACCATCATTTTAGGTTTTTTCTTCCAAAAATACAATAATTTGTTATTTTTCCACAAAAAAATACCACAGATTTTTTATTTTTTCAAAAATACCATAAACATAAAAAGTTGATTTTTGAAGGTATAGAATTATTATTTTTAATGTTTGGATTGACTATTTATATTTATGATATAGTTTTTAGGGGTATGGTTTAATGTTTAAGATTTAGAAATTAGTTTTATATATTAAAAACATTAGTTTTAATTTTGCGGTATTTTTGGAAAAATGTGTTTTTAGTAGTATTTTGGAAAATAAATCTTATAGTGGTACTTTTTCGAAAAAAATACATATTTTCATGGTATTTAAGACAATTTTCCTTAAGAAAATTTAAAAATCAATCCAAATTTCTTTGTTTTAAGTGAGATTTTTAAAAAAATTACAAAATATATCATCGTTCTTAAAATGTTTAATCATCGAAATTATATAAAAACTTATAAAACACTTAAATCACTTAATATTTTTTGTAATATTTTGAGTTGGGCTTTTGATTAATAAAGTTTGGAGAAGAATAGCGATAAAGTACTGTAAAAAACATCATATCACATTCACAAACTAATAACCAAATTTGTCTTTTGTAATAGGCTAATTCAATCGCTCGTAATATATTCCTCGTTCGATCGTTCCTCATGAGCGACCGACCTTAACCAAACGATACACGGACACGCTCGTTCCCATTCTCCACGGTTGTCCAAAACAAGGCATACGAAATATTGAAGGAGACTATAACGCCACGTGCACGCCTCCGCACCATATAACTTAACCCCCTCCGATTTCAAAATACCACAAAAGAAACAAAACACAAACAAAACGCAAAATCAAATTCCATTGCAGAGAGAGAACCCAAACAAAAATAATGGCAACGAGAGGAGCTGCTGCTGCTGCTGCCGCATCAACAATATGGAAGCACCGAAGAAACCCTTCTCTTCGTTCACTAACCCAACATTTCAATCCCAATTTCAATCCCCGAACCATCCCAACAGGTACAAAACATTACAAATACTGTCCTAACATAGATAACATAGGTTTGTGTCAAAAATTTCATATCAAGCATGATCTTTCCTTAGGGTTATTCAGATACAGAACAATTTGCATTTATCAGAGAAATATATATTTTTTAAATTGTAGGGTTTAAATATCAAGTTAGGGCGATACAAGGAGCAAGTACTGATCCTGTTATTACAACACCATTGAAGAACAGAGATGAGTCCCCAAAACCTCAGAATTGGAAAATCAAAATGCTTTACGATGGTGATTGTCCTCTCTGTATGCGTGAGGTCTTATAATCAATATAAACTCTGTTCCTTTTGTTTAACATGTAATGTTCATTTGAAGAAAACTGAATTATTCTTCTTATTATTTGGCAAATTTATTAAGGTCAATATGCTTCTGGAAAGGAATGAAAAATATGGAACTATAAAGTTCGTCGACATAGGTTCGAAGGATTATTCACCAGAAGATAATCAAGGGCTTGATTACAAAACAGTAAAGTGTTGATCTTTAAACCTGTTTCAGTTTGTTTCATTCTCTGTTTTGGTATTGAGTTTTCGGATTTGGTTGGTATCTTTATCAGGCAATGGGGCAAATACATGCTATTCAGTCTGATGGTAAAGTTGTAACGGGTGTGGAGGTAAGCTTATTGCATCATTGTTTCAGTTCAGGCTATCCATTTTATATTATCTTGATGTTTCTGACTGTATTCGTGATTTGGTTTAACGTTTTCAGGCGTTTAGGAGATTGTATGAAGAGGTTGGGCTTGGATGGGTTTACACTATCACCAAATTTGAACCAGTAAGCCTCTCTCTTTTGAAAGATTGAAGTCTAAGAGAATCTTTCTCGCTCTGTTGTGTCTAGTTTTGTGTTAATTGATAACGCGTGATTGCTCGCAGATAGGGAAGTTAGCCGATGCTGTGTATGATGTATGGGCTAAATATCGACTTCAGGTCACAGGTATATACAATGACCTGCAAAATGTTTAAGCTTTTTGTTAAGCGTATTTTGATTATTTATGCGTCAAAACTCGGTATCTTTGTTGATTAGGGAGGCCATCTTTAGAAGCTATTCTTGAAGCAAGAAAGAAAGATAAGGTAATGACAAAGTAAAACATTAGTTCTTGTCGATTTGTCGCAATCTTTTACTCGGGAAAACCGATCAACGCGATGTATCTGTGTTTGCAGGTAGAGACATGTGGTGATAGCAAGGCGTGCAAGATGTGAAATTCTCTTTCACATGATACTCATTAAATTGTTTACAAGTACCAAAACCAGTATGGGAGTTACATATTCTTCTTTACTAGCTTTTATGTGTGTGAGCATTTGTATGTGTTTGATACAAAGCCCCTTACATACCAAATCATATATGAACATTTACAGCAAATCTGAAAACTGTAGAGTTTTCTTCTATTTGGTATTGTTCTTTGTAAATGTTAGCAGTTTTTTAATTTATAACTAATGTTATTAAAATACTCAAGGAACATCAAAGCAAAATGCTCATAACTTTTATTCATAACTCTGAAATATTAAAATTTCATTAATCAAATATCCACCTTTCTTTAGTGAGATCTGAATTTAGCAGTTAGACAGACACAGCAAAAAGAATTAAGACCTAATTAAATTACTAATTTGAAGGCCCATCAATATTTTATACTAAGCCCACAATTCAACTAGTCCGTCATGTTCCGTTAAAGCTTCGCACGCGCAATCCAAGAAAGTAAAGTGCACGCGCTCCAGAACTCTATTATAAATCTGTATTCACCCAAGTCAGCGAAGAAATAGAATAATCCGGCGAACAATGTCATCGTCGAAGTCGCCGCCGTTGGAATCAACACCAAATCCAACACTTCCCTATGATTTTCTATTGGATTGTTTCGCACGCGTATCAATATTGTACTACCCGACTCTCTCCTTAGTCTCCAAGACCTGTCGAACCCTAGTTGCTTCATCGGAGCTTTACAAGACTAGATCTTCCTTGAACCGCACGGAGACTTGTCTCTATGTGTATCTAGAGTACCCTCATGACCCTATCTTACGTTGGTTCACTCTCTACCCTATACCAAATCAAACTGACAAGACAGAGAACTCAAGTGGATATGTTTTGGTTCCAATACGGATTCCAAATTCACTTCACGTGAACCACAAGGCTCTCGTGACGGTTGGTTCTTGCTGCGTTATAGATAAGATACTCTATTGTTATAGGCCAGGTGGAATCAAATGGTACGACTCAAAGGCAGGATTCTGGAGGAAGTTGAAAGGGTTGTGTAACCTTGATAGTTGTTGTGTTAAGTTGGTGGATTATGGTGGAAAGATGTTGGTTTTGTGGGATACGTATTTCCCTTCTAGAGGCTTTAGTAGTCATACGGTTTCGTGTGCGGTGATCTCCCTTGGAAGATGCAGAAATCATGAGATTTGGGGAGAGGCCGAGTGGTTTGATGATATGCTTACTACACTCCCTAGCTCTTACGACTTTGTGGGTGTTTTTGTTGCTTCTCTTTGAAGAATGCAATACAAGACACAGAGTTAAAAAAAAGTTGTGATTCTTTAGTGATTTGTTGGATGATTGAGCGATTTTAAACCTTTGATGCTTTAAGGCCAATGAAACATTGTTTTGGTTGAATATGTTTAAAAGTTTTGATGATTGATTTTGCAGATAGAGCTTAGGGAAACTAATAACAAACTCCAATGCACACATGAATAGGTAGAGACTATACTATCCTGAATTGTAACATTTTCTTTAATAGATTCTTGGAAAGCTAATGATTTGTATAATTTAATATTTTCTATATTTGATCAAATTTTATGAATTGAATATGAGATAAATTGAAACATTACATATAACTCCATCGTTCCCGCAAATTTGTGGAAATCTCAAAAAAAAAATGTACAGTGGCTCGCATATTCTCTCTCTGGGGCATTTAATCAAACACCTTCCATGCACTAAATCGCACACTTTTCTTCGGAGGAGGTTTCACTCCAACGCCATCGCTAATGTCGCCGTCAGCACAAAAGCTTCATGTTTCAAAAGCCTCAGTTCTACCCAACAAGACCAAATCCATCTCTACGTCGATACCCTTCTCCAATGGAACCAGGTCTCTCTTTCTCTCTTGACCATTTTGCTCAATTAACTTGGTGGGCATCTCTGGAATGATTCTTGAACATTACTTGTTTGAAAAAGACTCGTAATTTTCAAATCAAATTGAAATCTTTTGAACCCAATTCTCAGTTTAGTGTTGGGGGAAGCTTATTGCCCACCAAGTGTTCGTTGTAAGTCCTTATGTTAATGGTGATACCCAAGTGAAAGCACTGGTTTGGTCTCTGTTTCAATTATGAGTAGAATTTGTTAGTGTTTGTGGTTGCTCAGTGGGTTTGAATTGGCCTTTGTGAATGTGTAGAAAATGAATCTTACAGCAACTAAAGAAGCTGAAGAAGTAATGGAGAGACATATCGAAGATTCTCTTGCGATACTGCCTCCTATAAAGACGTCATACAATTTGCATTCTAATGACTTGTTTGATCACATCAACTTAATTGATGTTGGAAGCGGGGCAGGTCTTCCTGGGTTAGTTCTAGCTATTGCTTGTCCAGGTGCTCATTAGCTTTCAGATATGTTTATATGCAAATTTGTCAGATTATGTTTGTTGTGGTATTCCAGATTATTAAAAAGTCAAGTTCTTGTATTTCAGACTGGAGAGTTACTCTACTGGAGTCTATAAATAAGCGTTGTATTTTCTTGGAGCACGTCGTGGATGTTACCGGGCTTACAAATGTGAAAATTGTAAGGGGCAGAGCAGAGGTATAGTTTTATCCTCTTTAAATTCTGGGACCTGTTTCTGTAATAGTAGGTTTACTAGTTTAGCTGGCTACTCCTGGATTCCCTAGTATATATGGTAACTCAATTTAGATGCAGGTTCTGGCATTCTGAAGTGACTCTGTTTTTTGTTTTGTTTAGCTAGTAACTTAACTTAATCCTATACATACAAGAAACAGCTGAGAGACTTTCCTGATATAATTTTATTATGTTTCCATTAAATCTTTGGATTTGACAGTAAAATTGGAGTATATTTGATGATGGTTAATGAATGTTATTTTCTCGAGCTACTCTTTTTATATATAGCCTCTGTTGAAAACTATGATTCAGAAAAACACTTCTCCTAATTCTGGACTGCAAAAAAAATCAACCCCTTTGCTGCGCCCCTGACATGATATCCAGTAAGGTGATTCTAAACTATATTTTCCTACCTTTGTTATAGAACAGAGCTGTGGGCGAGATGTTATGTATAGAGAGAAGTTTGATGTGGCTATAGCAAGAGCTGTTGCGGAGATGAGAGTTTTAGGTAATCTTTGTTACGAGTTCAAGTATGGTAGTGCTAGGAAAAAGTTGCTTATTATTGGTCAAAGTAATACCAAGTTGTTTATAATGAATCTTTCAGCTGAATATTGTCTTCCTCTGGTTCGAATTGGTGGATTGTTCGTAGCTGCTAAGGGACATGACCCTAAGGTCAGGGTTCTCATTTGTTACATATTTTTTTGATTTATGTTTATGAAGCACTTGTGATTTTTGCATCTGTTCTTTATAACCTAATGTTTCATGGTTTTGTCAAAAACAGGAGGAAGTTCAAAATGCAGACAATGCAGTTCGCATGTTGGGTGGTTCAATATTACAAATTAGTCCAGGTGTGTTTTCTTTGGGCCTGTATATATGTTTACAAGTTTATCAGAAGCTATACCATAGCAGGGGCTAAATATGCATTATGAACTTTATTGAAAGTGAACGTTTAAATAACTCTACAGAAGAGGATAACCCTTGTTATCTTGGTTACTCCTGACACATCTCTTGATAAGATGGGATATGTTTGGTTTCATATGCTAAAACAAAACATCTATTAATAATATTAGCCTAAGAAATTCTGGGTAAATAGAAAGCTGTGATTTTGGGCTGAATTAGTAGACATAAGGTAGAAACGTGTGATCAGATAGATTATGGATTAGTAGATTTATATATCTCGTTTATAGTTTCTCATAATTGAACTTGGCAAATATGATTGTTTGGAATCAAATTTGTTGTCTCATGATTTGATACAGTGGATTCACATAGCCCATATGGACAACGAACAACGGTTGTTTGTCGTAAAGATCATTCCACCCCAAAAAAGTATCCTCGTGAAGCAGGTACTCCCTCTAAATTACCTTTGTAAATTGTACTCAATCACTTTCTTTTTACCTAGATTTGTAAAAGATTGAAAACAAAATATATATCACTTCTATTGGAGTCCATTTTCTCAGCTGCCAGCTTAATATCTGTCTACCTCACCTCTGAATGAACTATCCCTTTTTCTAGAACTAGTATTGATTCTGCTTCTATCTTTTCATATACGGTAATGCCATTATTTGTTGAGAATCTTAAGTGATGAAATGGGTGCTCAAGTTTATTGCCTTGCAACAATAGGTGACCAGACATCTAAAGCCTAACCTATTTAACATAGGACATAAACACCAAGTTTGATTGTCCAGCAGAGCATAGAATCAGCATTGTATCAATTTTTTTGTTTTGTTTTTGGTTACATCTTCATTCTTTGGTTAGCATTGTAGTTAGCATGCAGTCATGTATTTTGTTCTGCGTTGAAAAAAAATGATAGTGCACCAGCAAACTATTCACGTCTCTCATCTTTTCTTGTATGAGTGCTCTGCTTGTTTAACATTGGTGATCATGTGTTTCATTCTTAGTGGTAATTCAGAGAAATAGTAATGTTGAAAATGACTTGGATACCTAACTTATCCATCATGTCTTAGTTTATTAAAATTAGGTCAAAAATTTAGAGAATATTTAAAAGAAAAACAGAATGTCATAAGTTGTAACCAAAAGAGGTGTGACATCATACAATTGTAGCTAAGCCATGTGCTTCTTCTTTTATATCCCTTTCCTGCTTCTAAGTGTTGTCCCCTCAATTATTTACTCCATTTGTGTCTAGACTCTATCGTGTGTTTCACAAAACTTTTGTAGTGGACATGGTCACGTATTTAGATTTTTGGTATCCGATACTAAAAATCTAATTTAGTTACCCGTATCTACTGTCACACATCAGGTGTACTTATGTCTTTTTAAGATCTTTGTGATGCTTTTGTTGTCTACGGTCATATATGTTTTTGGTCATTTTGGAGTAACAAAAAGCTTGAGGTTTTCTACTTTTTAGCATGGTATGAGGTTAAATGATCCACAAGGAACGAATAAGGAAATACTATATTTGTAAACCCTACTTTTGTCTAAAGCAAAAATCCTATAAAGAGATGCTTTTTTCACTTAATTATTATTCTTTAAAATACTTTTTTTGATAGAGATAATACAAAGATTAGACGAGCTACTTGTCCTCCTTTGCATATATTTTTATATGCTATTTGCTCCAATATAATTATACTTCTTTTGACAAAGATTTTACCTACTTGGTTTTTTATAGATTCTGTTGAGACCAAATTGTATTTGTCAAAACATGGACTAATTAGAACAGAGGAGACTCACTGTCAAATCATATATTAGAATGTTGATACAAGTCATCTTCTTTCTTATCCAAACTAACATAGTACAACATTGCACACTCGTTCATCTATTCTCCCAAAAGATAAACTCACACAATAAAACTCGTCAACTCATCAATATAGGGAAAGAAACGTTCCAAGCTTAATGATATAGTAACTCTTTTTTATGATGTTGGCACCAAAATCTGCCAAACCTTAACTTGAGAGTCAAGTCCTCCACTGTAAATTTGATAAGAAGCCTCAGATGGTTTACCCGAATCACGAATTGCCCCGGTCAAACATTTAACAGGTCCGCTATGTCCCTCTAACATAGCCAGGCATGAATAATCCGTCGCGGAACATTTCCATAGCCTCACCGTCTTATCTGCAGAGCCACTACAAAGTATGTTCGAAACAACCGTGAGGCATAGAACAGACTCTGTGTGACCTCTTAGCATTCCAGCAACGACAATGTTTCCACCTTCGTCTGTTTCCCACACCATTATCGATCCGTCGGATCCACCCGAATGCAAAAGAGATCCGTTATCACCGCTCAGGGCCAATGCATTAATACCCGAATTATGTTCTGACAATATTGAAACCAAAGAATGCTTTTTCTTCTTCTTCTCCTTCTCTTCATTGGTGTTCTTTCTCCACACTTTGATTCTCTGGTCAGAAGATCCTGTGTATATATCTCCATTTTCGGATAATGCAACCGCATTGATTGCATCATCGTGAGCGTTTGTGAAAGACTCTAGGCATTTAAAATCGGTGGTTCGCCAGATTTTGAGCGTTCTGTCCCATGAGACAGAAAAGAGTAGCGTTCCATCTCTTGATAAGGCTAAACCCGAAACCGCGTCTACATGGTGAACCCATGAAGCTTTCTTGTGCCTCCTTATTTCGACTTGGTTCTTTGGCATCAAACACTTTGCTAAACGGTCACTCATCGTTGGCATAGTCGCTAGATGCATGTACTTTTTACCACCCACGTCTTCTTCAACGACGTCGTTTATCTTCCACACACGTATCTTTTGATCTTGGTGTGCTGTGAAGAGTTTATCAGCCAAGATTACCAAAGATTTCACTGCTCCTCCACCTCCTCTTTCCCCTGTTATTACATCACCGCCGCTGCTTGATGCTTCCGCCAACGTTTCTAACGTGTTAGCATTCCACAATCTGACAACTCCGTCGTTAGAGCCTGTGTAAAGTCTCTTCCCTGTAAGGGTTAGAGATGAAATGTAGGATGATGTATGACATGCAAGAGTGGCAATACATCGATGAAGTGGTTGAGATGAAGATACTTGATAATCTTCAAGAGAAATGTCTTGTTCTTCTTCTGTTTCGTGACAATATCGTATCATTGTTGCTTGTGAAGGAAGATGGAACCAATGAGCAACACTTGGAGATGTAATATAAAGAGAGAAAAAAAGATGAAGTTTGGGGAAAAAGTAGTCGTGGAAACAACGATTGGCTCCCAAGACTAGGACTATACTAATATATGTATTTCAATTTGGACCCCTTTACATTTGTAGGCAAATCTGACCAAAAACGAAAAGAATAATGTGATGGGATGATGAGTAGGATGCAAATATATATTTTTAAAAATGGTTATATTCTATTGACACAATCTTGTTTTGGTAGATTTCTTTGTCACAGAAGTGGAAGGAAAGTTAAAGGATGACCCCTTAGATTATTATTTTATTTGCTATATATATAAAGTTTGAATGTGTTTCATGCTTGAATTTTTATACAATTTGGTTGTGTTCAACAAGAGCCTAAGAGCAATACGAAGATATTTCTACAATTTAGCCACATAAGGTCATGGAAACTGAAATAAATTAGCCACAAAACTGGCAAACGAAAATATTGATAGTACCCTTTGTGGCCAATCAGAGACTAAACAGGCAAATTTTCATCCTTTGGTGAGTAGTTAATTTTTTGAAAATTTCAACTTGGCCACAAAATTCTATATGTGACTATCTTTTGCAATTTATGTTGAATTATTTTAACGTATCAAACATTGCAATGTCGTTCATGAAAAAGAGCCGTTTATTATAACTAACAACATCATCCTCGTCGTTATCATCCGCATCATCACATTATCATCACCATATATATTGTAATACACCGAAATTTAGATAAAAAGGAAAGGTGCAAGTGGAGAAGCTTTAAGACAACTGATTTGGTTTAGGATTTGATAAAATTTCAAAATAAACGACTTGTCGTTGACAATAGTTTAATGTATGTGATGAGGACCAAACAACGGAAGAAATATTGTGGTGACATGCATGCTCAATCATCAAACTTGCCGAGTTTCTAGGCATAGCACAGCGGCTGTCAAAAGAAGATGTGGTTCACCGTTCACGGCCGCAAAACAGCATAGGATCACCTCGAGTTAAGAGCGGCATGCCACATACAACGGAGGTTAGGGCATTGCGAGAGCCGAAGTATATAGCGGCATGCATGATGCACTTTCCACATGCATGATGCATGCCACATGCCACATACAACTCAGTCTTGTAATCTTTCCTATATATGCTTTTCACAATGCAAATGCAATTGGTTCATAACCCTTCTAAGTACTTGAACCCCAAGACTCATGCTGAACAAGTTTTTTAATCCTTGATATTATGATATGTTTTCTCTAGGATCTGGTTTGATTTCGTTTCTTTTCATTTTGATGAACTTGTTGAGTCAAGTCCTAGTATCTCTAAGTTGACACAAGTGTCACAAAATGTCTAGAATTAACTTAAATGTGTAGAACAAACTTGCCTTTTCCATCACAATTTTCTACGTCAAATATGCATGAGTTGATTCCATTCTAGACTGACGATAACGTAGTGTTTCCTTTAAGACAAACTCCAGCTGGTTCAATCCCTTTCAGAACACGAAGCAATAAGAAGGAACATCATAAGATCTCCTCTCAACAGAAACAGTTGCAAAGCCACAAAACAAAAGATCCATTCTTCAGTTTTAGGCCTGCTTGAGTTGGTTCTGTGAGCTCCCCACAAAAACTCACGTACTCTAGTTGACGGTCACTTGGGCTGCCACAACTGACTTGGGTCATCTTTAACAATTTCTGAAGCCCACTCTACCAGAGCACAATGTAACATGCATATAACAAGTCCTCCTAAAACGAGACCCATTATTGAATTTGGATAACAAAACCTAAAGAACTACAATTTCACACCGGTATATATATATATATATATATATTAATCTCAGCTAAGTCATTGAAACATTGGTGTAAATCAAAAAAGTTCTATATAGAGTATACAATACCATTTCCAACGTAAAAACAAATTTGCAAAGAGATCGAATTACTAACTATATATATATGTAGTATAAAGTTGAAAAACATTGTTTGTATTGGTGTTATTTAGAAGAAGCCTTATTAACAAGAATATGAAACGAGAGGATGAGATTGGTAAAAGGTGGTGGGAAACACGAGAGGAGAAAATGTTATGAAGAAGTAAGAAACATTGTGATGAAAGTGTGCAAACAAGATGGGGAACAAAGAAATTTATGGGGTCCCTTTTTTTATAACAATTTTGCCGATTTTTAAAGCATTTTGATTGTTGATGAGTCAACTTCACTGTCTCCTTTTGTTAAATTTTTTCATCAAGTAACTTTTGAAATTCTTATTACTCGTAATTTACACGAAAAGTAACATTTCCGCAAGACATCTCTCAAATAATCACTTCAGTAATTTACATATCACTTTCGTTGATTTGCTTGTTTATTACAAATGTCCCACATATTAATTAGGAATAATTAAGATATTTGAGTACGTAAATGATATCCTCCAAGACTCTAACTAGTGTACACATAATGAAATAATCGTATAATATTTTGAGTACTTTATACTATATTAGCATAACATGAACACACTATTCTAATTTTTAACAACTCTATATCATAGTTGTCTACTATATTTGTCCTTAACGTTAGACATCCAACTTTTTTTCTGGTCGTAATATATATATGAATAGTAGTATTGTTTTTTTTTTTTTTTTTAATAAATCCTATCAAAGTATTTCAGAGTGGATTTCTCCTCGAAGTACCACCACACTGTATATCCCGAGTTTGAAATGGTTTCTGACTAATGATAAGGGATAGTCAGATAGGCTATCTGACTACTAGGTAAACCAACTGGAGTTTGGTCAAGTTGACAGACTTTTACAACCATGATTTTTGTTTTCAAAGTAGATCGAACCTAAGTTAGTTATTTTTCAACCTTTTCTAAATTCTTCCTTACCACTGTACCACGACTGTCCGGGTGACTACTAGTATTGTTATATGCTGTGACTACTTGGTTCGAATATATACAAAGTAATGGCGTTGAAAATTGAACGTGCGGAGAAGACAGAAATAAGATAAGCTTTAAATTATGGCAAAAGCAAAAACGTTGAGGTTGATTCAATGGTGCAACAAATGAGTGGTTCTGTTTGTTAAAATGGAAGAACGCACGAGTCTCATCATGCTTTCTCTTTTCTTTTTTTTGCTTCGTCTTCTTTCGTTTTGTCTTCTATCTTATTGGGACATTTCTTCCAATATTTTCAAGATTGCATTGAGTAAATCTTGTATGTTCCCTTTCTCCTCAGTTTCACGTGTGGATCACACTTTACATTCTCCACTACGTACGCACCTTTTTCAGCTTGCTCGTTACGATATTACTAGCTAATCTCTCGAAGTACTCCATAATTTGTATCCATTTTTACATTTTGAAGTTAGTTCTCTATCGAATTCTACTCGACATATATTTTTTTGTAATCATATAGAATACATAATTAATATTTACAACTGGTTTTTGAGATTTAAACTAATAATTTAACCTGCGGAATTTTTCATAGGAGCACACACATACGTAGAGATATATTTATGATGATGGTTATATAGTGATCCCATTAACCTGAGAGAGACAAAGTCACCGAAAGTTATTTCCTTTTTCTAAATTGGTAAATTTTAACAGATATGTTTGTGTAATGGTGGTAACTGGTAAGAAATTGTGACCCACATGTTTTTAATTATTAAATTAGGTGTATATATTTGCACTGTTTGTGTGATTTAAATTATTTTTTTTCTGAACCAAAAATAGTATGATTTAAATTCAAAAGTTATAAAAGACGACAGCGGATATGAAATTTAGATTATATATACGCATTATTAGAGCTAGTAGATGATCATATATAAATCAAAAAGGATTGATGACAAAATCGTAAATAAATTGGATTTTTTTTAGTGTGTATGATTTTTTAAGAACTATTATGATTTTTTCACGAATCACATGTTTTTTACAACAAAATAAGTCTCTTCATATGGTTATTTAGCAAATTCATCAAAATTTTATTTTAGTACTATTTATCACTATATATTTTAAGAATTACATTTTCCCATTACCCATTTTTATGTTTGGCATAAGAGAAAGAGTAAATAAGATCTTAGCACTTTTATGTTGGTCGCTCCGTAGCACGCGTGGTAGGGCCTTTGATAATCTGGCTTACAACGGTATATACCACTACGCCACAACAAGGGAATATAATGCTCGTTGGCTTCTAAGGGCATCTCCAACCCTGAACCTGTATAAAAAGTGCATAAAAATATTTTATTAATAAATTGTAATCAAATAAAAGAAAAAAAAATAAAGAAAGAAAAGAAACATAGAAAGAGAGAGTGCCGAGAGAGGAGAGAGAAAGAGAGAGGAAAAAAGTTTTTTTTGCAACGGCCAATAATTTCATACCACGTATGTTTAGCACCCATTCCTTAAGTCTGTTAGTTAAGGAGCGTTTTCTAAAAAATTAATGAATTTTGATTTAATTTTAATGAAATTATAGTTTAGAGACTCACCTTGAACCTCCCTTTGGAGGTGGTCTAAGTAACTTGGCCATACCAATTTATATTGCGTCACTACTTAGCAACTCCATCCATAACAAATCTCAAAGAGTTTCTCAAGCAAAACATATTAATATTTTTACATAATTTTTATATATAGTTTAATTTCAATTTCACATAAAAAGTTAAAGCCAATTCATGAGATATAAGTGTTGTTATATATATACTCACATAAAAAGACTTCCAATTGAAAGAAGAAAAAATTGAGGTGAACTTATAGTTATTTTGATGTAGCGAATTTAAAGTAATTTCCACCAAAAGAGAGATTGTGATATATAATGATATTTTAATTTTAATTTAATTTTAGTGATCTACATCGTTTTGGAGTAGAAGTTCTAATATGTTTACTTGTCTCTCATTAGAAAATGATATTTTCTAGAGACATAATATGTTTATAATCATTACAAATTGGCATTTTCTATATATCCATTTTTATAAGTTCATTACTTACCATATCAGTATTTTTAGAAAATACAAACATACTAATCATGAAATAAAAACATGTTAAAACTTCCACTTCAACAATTATATTTGGATTGGGTAATCACTCCCTTCAGCTCCACCATGCATGCCTATAGGAAAAATATCTGGGATCCTAAACCATTATTAATTAATCTATGCTTAAACTGTTTATAGAATATCTGTGGATTATTGATTGATCAAACATTATCTTATTCCTCGAACATCACAAGACGCCTAAAAACACAAATACTCATGCATGCATAATGATACGACATGGAAACAACACGGAACGAAGACGAAATGACTTGTAAAATCAAAACTTGTAGTCAAAACTGTTTTTGTCTAATTTCCAATAAAAAATTATTTACTACTCTCTCTTTTTCATAAAAAGTGCATTCTAGAGTTTTAATTTTGTTTCACAAAAAATGTCATTTTTCAATTTTAATGCATTTTTAATATTGAATTTCTAAATTTTACCCTTAATTTAAATTTAATTAAATTATTAAACATATATTAAATAGGGGCATATATGTATAATTGAACATTTTCTTAATCTGTGTAAAATGTGTCAAAGTGACACTCTTTGTGAAACAGAGGGGTTACTATATACTTGATAAAAAAACTATTACTCTATCCGTTCTACAATATAGATCTTTTGAGAATATACACACAGATTAAAAAATCAATAATTTTTGCTTACTTTCAAATAAAAACAGCTTTTAATATATACATTAACACGATTCAACCAATGAAAAAACAGTATATGTAATATAAATTGTTAAAACCAAATAAAATCTTATTAATTATACATAGAATTATGAGAAAACATCAATTTTTGGAAAACAAATTAGACCAAAAGATCGTCTAATCTAGAACGGAGGGAGTATATGGCATAAGTATCTCAATGTTTTATCATTTAATTTTGAAAGAAAAGATGGGATAAGAAGAGACAAAGTAAAAACTAAAAGGGACAAAGTAATAATGAAGAGAAAAGACAAAAATGGAGGGTGTTTCGTTGTCAAAGGATGCATGCGTGTGGACGAAGCTGGTCCAATGTTCCCCACCGGAAAAGTGAGTTCTCTCCGTCTAGATCACCACTTACTTGCATCTATCTATCCTTTACTTTCATTGATATCTCATTAGCAAAGTTTTATATGTATATCTTAAACACTTAGAATTACAACAGCAAAACAATCGAATTAGAACCCTATTTGATTCCTAGTCATTTGATGAGATTTAAAATCACAGAAGAAGAAAAAAAACTATGATCTCATGCTTACTCGGATAGGAAAGAAAACAGTATCCGAAAAGCTTTAAGCAATTAGAAAATTACTAATGAGACCAGATGGTTTATCAGGTTATGATATATATGTATAGTGGAATATAAACAGGTAGGGCTACGCGTTAAATCTCTATAGGATTTGGAATCCACTATCTTTTAATACTTTACACTAAAATTTTACAAACAAAATAAACCTAAACCTTGGAAAAAACACTCACCAACAAACCAATTTCATACATATGAAAATGACATTTTTTATTTGTGCTTCTCAATTTATTTGTTCTTACTAGCTATTTTTTTTTTTTTTGATCCTTTAAAAAGAGAGAATATCAAATAGTACTTCCTCCGTTTCATTGTAAATGTATTTAAAGAATTTTACATTTATTAAAAAATAATTAAAATTTTTTGTTGTAATTTATAAATTTTCATTTTCATTATAATTTTTTCATTTTATTAAAAATAATTGATAAAACAAAAACTTTTACCAAACATTTACATTAGAAATAAAAAAATAACTCTATTTGGAAACAAATTGTAAGTGTAAATGAAAACTTAATATAAAACCGAGAGGCGAGAGAATATATATGTAGTAGACTAGTAGCATACTAATTAAATCCCTTAATGTATTTAAAATCTTACATACTGTTGACTTTAATTAACAAGTTTACTAGTTTCAAAAGTAATTTGTTAAAAGAAATTGAAGATTTGAAAATACAAAAAAAAACATCCACGAGACAAAGCTTTTCATATAACAATATTTTTTTCTAAAAATGACGAATTCTTTTGTTTTTATCAGTGTATACAAACTCTGTGAAAGTAAAGGGTTGGTGATCAAAAGTAAAAGAAACTTGGGCGAGTACTCGTGTGAGGTGTTACCATCGAGCAATCAAGTAATTCACTTATTTTAATTCCAATTTTTTTTTTCTTTTTGAAAAATGACAACAAACACACATAAAGGTATGTGTGTGTATATATATAGATACGTGTGTGCATGGGCTCCTCCTCTATATGAGTGATCAGAATTGTATTAAAGTTCAGCTACAAAATCTTCTCATTCGATTTTCTCTCTTTCTTTCTCTCACTCTCAAATGAAGGGAACTCTAAGATACTTAGCAGGAATCGCAGGGCCAAATGGGTTTGGCTCAAGATCTACAGCTGAACAAGTTACACAACATAGCTTCTTGCCTTGTTCACATCTCACTGCCATAATCACTGGTTTGTCTCCCCCTCGTCACTTAAACTATCATTTACTTCAGTCTTTATAATATTTACTTGTAGAGTATATATTCGTGTGTCTTTCCAATTTTCTTGGATGTCCCCATTTCCGCATTTCGTGTGTCCTTCCCCTTACAAAAGGAAGCTTTCAAATTAAGGTCCTCAACAAAATAAAAGAATGGATTCCAATATTGTAGTGAACTTACAAGACCTAAGAACATAGTGGATAATTCCAAAAAGCTTTATTTTTACACATAATAAACCTCCTCTAATCTAATGTTTTGAAAATTTATTTTTTATTAAAAGCTTCTGATATATATACTCACCTTCTAGCTAAAGAGCATATCTTATACTCCTCTAATAATTCACTTATTGTAAATAAATTATATCTTATTTTACCACTAATTTCACATATCTTACATCACAAACAAACAAAATAATTGTTATAAGTTGTACATCTTATTTAATTACCACTAGTTCGAAAATAAACTTTCCGGGCAAAGACACAATCTGTATTTTTAATTAGTAATATTAATACTATATATTAGTATGATATGAGATATGTGTTTTGTGTATGCCGGCGACAATATATGATTTTTGTCTCCATTGAAATTTGAAACATTTAGGTATGGTTGTTTAAGCATATTGGCCATTTACAATTGATTAACCTTTTGACTTTAACCTTTGAAACATGTCTCATCGTTGCAAAACATTACTTTTATTTAATTTTCTTTAGCGATCAGCCTGCCCAAAACGTACTTTATGCTATCTTTATGTCCCCTAATTTGTCGGTTGAAACTTTATACAATTAGGGTCAATGAATAAGCTTTAAAGTGACCTCTCTTTACTCTTTCTTTCTTTCTTTTGGTTGGAAATACAAACAAAAAGGCTAGTACTAAAGACATGGATGGTAGATAAACTAATTACGCTATATACCTAATTACAATTTGACGTTTTACGAAATTTTGATATATATGAATACTCAAGACCGTCCATGCATGTGGAAACTAACTAATTGATAAGATGTGAAATTGTTCATGTACTTTGTATATAGTAAAGTTTCATTCAATATAATGCTATATGTAACAGGAGGAACGTCTGGTATTGGTGCGGAGACCGCGAGAGTCTTAGCGAAGAGAGGTGTGAGAGTAGTGATGGCAGTAAGAGATATGAAGAAAGCAGAAATGGTGAAGGAGAGAATAGTTAGAGAGAATCCAGAAGCTGATATTATATTATTTGAGATTGATCTCAGCTCTCTCTCTTCAGTTGCCAGATTCTGCTCACAGTTTCTTTCCCAAGATCTTCCCCTCAACATTCTCATGTACGTAACTCGCTACATACACCACCATGCACGTACCAAAATATTTATATATATATACAAAATGAGACTTTAATAATATTTTATACTTCTAAAAATTTTAAATGAAATTTTGCAGAAATAACGCAGGAGTCTTCTCTCCAAATCTTGAATTCTCCGAGGAAAAGATTGAGCTAACATTTGCTACAAACTTTTTAGGTAATTTTGTGGAATCATGTAACACATGAATATATGTATCTATGTCAAGCGAGAGAAATTTTAATGATGGTTAGTGTAACTTTTCAGGACATTACTTATTAACAGAGATGCTGATAGAGAAAATGATAGATACGGCAGAGAAGAGTGGAATCGAAGGACGAATCATTAACCTTTCCTCTGTGATTCACAATTGGGTCAATCCTGATTGTTTCTCCTTCCCTAAATTACTCCATCCCATTATGTATAATTTTACATTCATATTTCCTATATTTAGGATTAAAAGTATCTAAAAATATATGTTTATGATTAGGTTTATGTTGTGCGTTTTTAATAGTTTTTTGTTGGATAATCGTAGGTATAATGGGACAAGGGCTTATGCTCAGTCAAAGATGGCCACAATATTACATGCCAAAGCGTTGAGCAAGCAATTAAAGGTACATTTGAAAATACTAATAATGTTACATCTCTCTTATTTTTTCACCTTTTTTACTGAAATTATAACTAGAAATTTATATCCAACTAAACGTGTTTACAGGACAGGAATGCAAACGTAACGATAAATGCAGTCCATCCAGGGATAGTTAAAACTGGAATTATCAGAGCACACAAAGGTCTTTTCACAGGTAAATTTTAAAACTTTTTTTAACATACATATTATATATATATAGAAATGCAAAAGGAATCTAATATGTAAAAAAAAAAAAGTCTTAAAACATGATGTGTTGTGTATGCAGATTCTCTGTTTTTGATAGCTTCGAAGTTGCTAAAATCTATAAGCCAGGTAGGTGTGAATAGATAAGCTTTTCTTTTTGTCTAAATAGTACAGTTCTGGCCCAACATGTTCATTCTCTTTTTCTGACACTAGATTCCTTTTTTATTTTGGTTCTGTTTTGTTTTTGTCTTTTGCATACCAAATCAAAGTTTTGTCATCATCAATATTCATGCGTACACTCATCATATACACATACATGATAAATACTTAAGAAGTAACTTAAAATGAACTAGACCATTGAATAAATTTTTGGGAAATTGCATTGTATATACCCAGATAAAGTTTTTATTCACTATATGTTAAAGATAATTTCATAATTAGTTTTGCTTCTTCTGGACAATTTTAACCCTGTAATCATGAGTTAGCTGATAACTGAGTTAGCGCGATTAATATAATTATATATTTAAATAATAATATATTATCTTAACAAATAAATTATATTTAATAAGGAAACAAAATCTGTATAACTTTAATAAAACATGGTTAAATATATTTTTGAGGCTTAGATTTTATAATTAAAACAAAATTATATATCGGTTTGGGTTTATAAATGGGGCTTAGCGTTTAGATTTTACAATTAAAACAAAATTATATGTCGGTTTGGGTTTATAAAGGAGTGGTTAGGGTTTAGATTTTACAATTAAAACGAAATTATATATCGGTTTGGATTGATAAAATAGTGGTTAGGGTTTAGATTTTACAATTAAAATGAAATTATATATCGGTTTGGATTGATAAAATAGTGGTTAGAGTTTAGATTTTACAATTAAAGTGAAATTATATATCGGTTTGGGTTGATCAAATAGTGGTTATATGTGTACATATTTTGTTTCCATAATTTGTTTCTATAAATTATATATCGGTTTGGGTTGATCAAATAGTGGTATAGTAAATGAGTTAACACGGTAAATATAAACTTATCACATAAATCATAAATTATCGCGATACAAAATAATTTAACACGATATATTTATAAACGTATATGTATATATATATTGTTATCATGGTAATTCAATAGTTATTCATCTAACTTATAACATGATTTTACTTATGTATTTGATAAACAGTATTGTCGATACTTATATTATTATCTCGCTAAATAATTTGTTAGATGCGAAAGGTTATTTTTGTCCACTTATACAAATTGATGAGAGAGAACTAATTATACATTTAACAATGTTATATTTTTAATTTGTTGGTCAACTGAGTATAGAAATTTAATTCACCCTAAATTTTTATGATATATTAATTCTCATGAATCTTTTGCTATGGGATTAGGGCGCAGCGACGACATGTTATGTGGCATTGAGCAACGAAACCAAAGGGTTAAGTGGGAAATATTTTGCAGACTGCAATGAGACTAATTGCTCAGATTTGGCTAATGATGAGTCTGTGGCTCTCAAGCTATGCACCCAAAGCCGTGCCTTAATCCATGATTATTTGCATGAATCTAAAATACACCCCCTTCCTGATTTATGTCTCCTGTAAAATCTTCTTAATAATTCCTTCTTTTTTTTTTTGTTGCTAAGGACCATTTATAACTTTATTTCTGTAAAGCACTCTTTTTATTAGCAAGACCTATCTCATTATGTATAGTTGTCGAGAAACATGCATGTACGTACATAAACAATGATTTCTGTTAAGTCTTAATTATTTGACCAATTACTACATAACTTGCTTATTTACCACGGCAGTTTATATATCATTTGTTTTACCGAAGGATCATTTGTGTTATATCTGCCGAGATGTATGATACTACTATATAGTATGATTCATGATCCTACGAAATAACTAGTCACTACTTGAAGCTCTCATATCAACAAAATTAATTGCTAAGTCTAACGTTTTCATGGTTCAAAACCATCATCTTTAGCTTTGGTGGATCATGGATGGTACTGAGTGGTAAGCGTCTATTATTGTTTCTCCTGCTCTTTATCAGCAACGTTCCTCACTGCCACATATACAACCATACTACTTATCCAGATTCTTAAAAGACTTTTACCTTTCCTTTCAAAATTCATTTTTCTTTCCTAATACGAGTGAGAAACAAGGAGTGAAACCCTTATTAGGTCCGAGAACGCAAATGAGCTAGCCCATAAATCAACCAAAACTCGCGGCCCATCCAAACCCACCGTCATCGTCCCGGCCCTAGTCCTACCAACATTTTAAAAATCACCAATTCCCCTAGTCATTTTCATGTACGTTCCATTTCAATTTCATCGGTTTGATGAGTACCATTTAAATGTAGTAAAATCATCAGTTTTTATGTATGTGTTTTTTTTCATTCGTTTATACATTACCATGTACCGTTACTCTTTTAAACTCGTCATGTTTACTAGAACCGTTGGAATAACAGTTTGAGCACTAATATATATTAAAACCAACATTTATATGAACAACATTATATGTATAGAAAACTATATATTTCATCACGTCAAAAATACATTAGGGCCACAAAACGGCTTGTTAATGTTTTTGATAACAGCCTTACAAAAACAAAAACAAAAAAAAAACAAAAAAAAAGAAAAACAATCTAAAGAAGAAATAAAAAATCTTAGTAAGAAAAGTAACATTAATTCACACAAATATTTTTTACTTTTCTGTTTGGGTGAGTCAAGGACATCTAGCGTTCCGACCAGGGCCTCCGTAGTAAAAATAAGTCCCCCATACATTGTTTTTGCCTTGTCTGATGTCATAACAAGCCGGGTGATCGGCCAAGACATGGAGATTCTGCAGAGGCAAGAGATTGTTGTCCCAATCGACGACTTGTAAGTTCCTGAAATAGGCAGCTTTCTCAAAACCTTCATTAGCGAAATGACCACTTCCCATCTGTGTTCCCGTGTGAGCCCCGCTTGATCGGCTGTTCACAACTTCTCCCCCAAATTGTACCATACTTGCATGACTCCTCATGTGGCTAAACAAGAAAGCTGGCCAATATCCCACAAGAAGTCCATTTCCTAGCTCAAGCCACCAGTGACCATGTTTTGGATCCTACATTACGTTATTTCGCAACACCATGGTTAGGTTCAAGGCGGTAAAAAACATAGTATAAAGTATGAAGACTTCATCAAAAGATTCAAAACCATTTGCTATTACATCAAAACCAAGATCAAGGACTTAACATCGATAGGTTTAGCCGTTTAGCTAAATACTAATTATATAGTTTCTTATAACCAGCTTCATGTGAACTGATGAACTGATGTAGTTTCATAGTTTTAGTTATACAATGGGAGGTCAGCAACATTTGCGAATACAGGTTTTGAGTAGATACGTACATTAAAGATTTGCTTTTACTGCATGTGCAGTGAAGTTTCTGTCATCAGTTTCATATCCTCAAAATTTAATGCTCGTTACCAAATCCAACCTCTATATTTATTAACAATGTTTCGAAAAAGCTGAAAGCCATTCTTTCTTTTATTAGTTCAGTTTTATGAAATTCGAGGTTGGTCGATTTCTTTATTGCTTCTCCAAGAGTTATACTAGTACGTATTATTCAAAGTACCTACAGTGGCACAGGTTGTAATAACTAAAGCACTGCCATTTCATTCAATTCTTTTATGAGTCATTCATTACTATAGGTCAATATATGATTACGTGAGAGCTTTTTGTGACGTGAGATATGTTTATATATAAGTACAAATTACAGCCGGAAAATGTCATCGTGATGATTTGGTTTTTCATGTTTTTCATGATGATTTGGTTTTTCATAATTATATATTCAGTTTCATTATATATTGGATTTAATGTTAGGTTATATATATGGTTCAATAATATCTTAGTTAGCTATATATATACAAAAATTATTAAACTGATATATCTCGTTAAACCTATAAATCTTCACCAAAAAAAGCATTGTATGATAATTAATCCGTATGTGTTTAATTTGGATTTATACTGTTCAGCTAATTAGATAATTAGGTGAAATAAGTAGTTTTCTGAAGTGAAATTAAGGTGTAGCTAACAAGATGTATATCAAACAATGAAAGAATAGTTTGAAAATATGCTAGCTTAAGTTTTTGTAGAAAATAAACTTATTCATGGTTAATGTGTCGGTTGATTTAAGAAAATAAAATAGTAGACATATGCGTAGCGTATCAAGTGCGTTATTGACTTTACATGTCGGTCTTTTAACACTTTAACAATGCAATATTTTTTGGTTTTTGGTGGACTTATCTAAAAACAAATCTCATAGTTAGAAGCAATCATATTAATTTCCCTAAGCATTAATTACACTGACATTAACAATTTTTAACATTATTAGTGTGAGTCAGGTTCTTCTTCTTCTTCTTAATAATCTAGAAAGAAAACAAGAACAGAACACCTACAAATGCGCTTAGATTACACATTCCAACTAGTTTTAACTTCGAAAGCTCATTGGTAAATTCAAAAGACCACATGCACACGTCCCATAATTTTCATCAAAATGCTTATAAATACGAGTACTTGTTTTATGTGGTTTGACCCAATATCAAGTACGTACAAAATTGTAGTATATATTTTAAGTTTTTCAGGAAATGTTTTGTCTTTATCTATAAAAATATGGTTAGAAATAAATGGAAGAAGTAGAAGAAAAAGACTGACCTTCCAAATCATTAAACCAATATCAAACTGTCTTCCATTATAAGAGGACCTCGGGGAGATCGCTGCACCAATTGCAATTTTGTTGTTGGTTTGTACGAAGCCAGAGCAGAGTAAATTGTAGCACCCAGTTGCTTGGTATGCATCAGTCTGCCAAATTTTTCAAACTCAATTTCTATTCAATGATTTTAAAATAATTCTTTTAAAGTGAAATTGGTCTTTACCGTCCAATATGTGAAGAATCTTGGATAATTATCTCCATATAGCTCAGGACTAACCTGCAAAATAAAGATCAAATTGTTATGTAATCAGTAATCACCAACCTAATTATTATTTGGACCCTGTCTCTATATATATATATATATCCCCACCACACTTCTTTTTGCAGCTCATTACTGTATAGTACTAGTTGATTTGTCTGCTCGTTCTCTGTTTAGAAGATTAGAAGGTTGACTAATTAAGTTCTTGATTGATTCTAAAGCTAATCTTTGTGTATTTTGTAATACATAAACGTAACATCATCAAAAACACCCAAAATAAATCGAGGTAAAACTATTTATCCTTTTGCTTTTATTTGGCATCTGTGTTTTATATAATACTACTAACAAACAAAAACTATTGTGTTTAATATATATATGATACACTCTTTCACTATAAAAGAATTGGAAATCTAGCTTCTAGCAAGGTTGATTCTCTATAGTGATAAAGTATTATTCGTTAAAATATAAGAATATTGATTCTCTTAGTAACAAAATAATTGTTTCTTTCCCCTAAAGTAATTGTAAATTAATATATATATATATATATTTTTTAAAAGTGAATGGTACGAACCTGCCAGCCAGCTTCAATGGTGTTTAGGTCATGACCAAAGGATCCAGAGATGAGCCAAATCTGAGATAAACTGAACTCATAAGCATCAGTGACACGTGGCGCCCATACGTTGATGCTAGCTTTAGCTCCATAGTATTGTTCTCCGTTTACAAACACCACCGCATGCTGCATGTACGTAAAAATTCAAACTCTATTAATATAAATACCATATAGTATATAGTTTTACAACTTAAAGATAACTCAAGTTCACACTTTATTTATCTTCAATATCAAGAAATCAGTTTAACGAAGACTCCTTTTTTATTTATCTCGATCGAATCATTTTATTTTATGCTTTTTTTTGGAGAATATGATGCTTTATTGAACAACAACCAAAAAGTTAAAGTAAAGCATAAGAAAACATTATTATTCTCCCCCGCATGATCGATTTGTACGATATGCGATAACGGTGGAAGAAGAAGTTTTAATTATACCTCGTGACCACCTCCGGAGGAATCTCGTCTGATGGGTCTTCTCAGTTTCCGACCAAACCGTCGAAGTGAATTTGCTCTCAAGACATCAGTCTTTGTTGTTCTTCTCATTGGTATTGACCCAATGGGACAGCTTTCACCAGACATACTCCATAACTGATTGAAACTTTCCTCATCTCTTGTTTCGTTTTTTCTACTTGACAAGTCTGGTAGATCCTGCATGTTTGTATATTATTAGAATCACTTCTTTGTTTTTTTCTTTCTTTCTTTTCTAAGGTTATGTATAAAAGAAGTAAAGTGAAAGTGAAAGAGTAGAGTCATTACTAGTGGTTTCTGGCCTTGTAGCTGAGGATGATCAAATGCTGGTTGCAAATGAGACAAAACACATTCTATTACATCTCCATCTGGGCTCTGAAGTTTCACAATAACAACAAACGTTCTCATATATAAATTAGTGGAAAAAAAAACAAGAAAAAACATTTCCATGAAAGTATGTTTTGGTTACGTACGTAGATCGTTTTGATGGAAGGCTTGTTGATTTGGTTGAGATATGCTTCCACTCTTCTAAGCTTCCGAATCTCTCTGTTGGGTTTGAATGAGGTTTGGTTTTTAAGATCATGAATAGCCGATCCATGTAACAAGTCTAGTTGAAGAGAGAGAAGAATAAGCAGAAACCAAATAAATTTTGATGTGATGGTTGAAGTAGTAGTTGAAGAAGAAAATAGAGAAGAAGAAGAAGAAGAAGAAGAAGCCATAACTAGAGAATGTGTA